AATCAAAAAAGGGATTGTTATCATCAAACTAAAGGTTTGTTTTTTCAAAGATGGGTACCTGTACACTACAAGTGACTTTAGATGTGTATGTCTTATGGACGTCTCACAGTAGCAATTAATTACATATAAAAAAATAATCTCTGCAATTCAACTAAGGCAAATTTTATCAATCTAAAGGTTGTAGTATGTTCGTCAGATCAGGTCAGATGTATACTTGTTAGTGTCAGTCATTGATTTTCACATCAACTTTCTATTTCAGTAGGTTTAAAGTCTTTATAAATAACGCCAGCAGGCTCCTCATGTCTTTGAATGTTTAACGTTTTTAATCAGTACCCGCACTTTACCGACGGTCCCTTACCGTTCCAGCTATTTTCATCAAAAGTACTCGGCGAAATGAAAAGATCGAGTACTTTGACGAAATATAATGATTGTAGTTTGTTGTCTGTTTTACCACGATTTAGAAAATGTTATTTCAGAATTTTTAAGAGGTTGTTTGTGAGCGATAGGAAACGCCAATATCCGCTGAATATCGAATATCAACCTAACTTTACCGACCTTTCAAAGGTAACCCTTCGTCCAGCTGTCCTCTAAGTTCACAGAGCGCTACCACCTGAAACTGTTTGCGAATGGTGGTAAACATTAGCAGAGAACTCAAGGCAAACAGAAAACTGTTCCCAACTGTTTTGAATGGTTCTCCTGTGTTCACCGAATTTGAATGCACCTGTGGCTTCGACGTTAGGACAACAATGCAGTGTGTAAAACTGGGTCATTCTGAATAATAGTTATTTGCTACCCGTTCCAACTCTATCAATGATTCAAGAGACCATGCATTTCGAAATGTTACAGCTCAGCTCATAACATGACGTAGGACAGCTTTTAACATTAACATTAGCTAACTTGCTCGCTAGCACAACTATCTTACCGAGATGAATCTTCTTCATCCAGTGAGCCGACGTGTTTCCTCTTTAGACGCTCCAACATGGAGGATGTGCCCCCATGCCAGCTAAGATTGGCTTTTGGAGTTTAGCTTGAAATGCTCCCATACTTTTTTTTCTTGAGGCTGCCATCACGCTTTTGTTAACTCTCCAGGGAGCGGTAATGTCAAAACATTCCTAGTTAGCGCAAGAAACACGCGTGATAATGTCACTAACTAATCAACTATTAAATTAGTTGCCAACTAATTTGGTCGTCCATTAATCATTACACCCCTAAAGAAAAAGCTTGGACAGTATGTCCAGGAATGGAATTTGTTTTTTCCTGGACAGGAATCCAAAAAAACCCAGACATGTCAGGTTTGCACCCCTAGTTTAAGAATGTGTTCAAGTGCAAATTTTAAACTGCAAATTTTTGTTTTGGTTCATGCAAAATCCTTGGCAAAGGATATGTGGGTATTGGACTAAATTATGCTTAAAGTTCCTTAGGGCAGGTAGCAACTCATGCATGTGAAAGCTTATTTGGCCATAATTGGCCACAGAATGAAGTGCATTTCTAAAGTTATTAGCTTGTAGTATGTGTATTAGTAGAACATGGTCAAAGTGCCTAGCCCTTTTCACTTACTTTGATAACGTTCTGATTTTGAAAGCTGTTGGTATTGTAATTACTTAGGGCTGGGTGATATGGACAAAAATGGTATTACAATTGATAATTATCACAATAAATTATTTCATCAAATCATTATCTTTAAGTTTGAAGTCTGATTTTTGCTCCCGAGTGACAGTTGAAGAAGCCAGGTAATTGTGATTTTAAACTTTTAAACTATTCTCAGAACATGACAAACATTTGCCAAACAGTGGAACAAATCTGTCCTGGGATAGTGGGAGAAAGTTCCCAGGTTATCTGTTTTTACTAGCTGGTTAAACCAGCACTCTCACACGCACAGCTCAGCCACAATTTTTGTAGTATTCACCATTTAAAAATAAAAGATTATTTTTAGCTGTCTGATGACAAGTGCTAGGTGCTAAACTGTTTCATTTTTCAACAACATTAGCGTATTACAAACAGCAAACTAACAGGCTCTGTATGTCAATTATGTATCACACTACCTTACTCCTATCACCTCCATGTCAGAGCATATCACAGTATTCAAAGACAAGCTAGCAGACATTTGAATTTCTCTATTCTGTAGTAGTAGTTTGAGGGTTGAAATAACACTGCGGTAAATTTGGTTTCTGTGTTCAGTGTTTTTCAAAAGACGTGCATTTCCGACCTAAACAAAGTTGTAGCTGCTTGTCTTGGATGCTAACAACGATAATTTGCAAGTATTTACCCTTTTGCATGCACCATTCGAAGATTATTAAAGAAAGAAATCTGAATATGTGAATATGAAACTAACTTTACTGCAGTTGGAAAAACCAAAATATCTGATGCTCATTGTGTAAAAGACAGACCTTGGTGGAATTAACTGCAATGTGATTCTTTTGCACCTAACAAACAGCATCTTCCTTTTAAGTGTGTTTAAACTGAAATTAGTGGGGGTTTTTTTCTTTTTTTTGGTCTTGTTTGATCATTGTAATTCACTATAAAAACATCCATTCGGCCATGCTGTGCAAGTGACAGAGCGCTGCTTCATGTTAGCCAGCTGATGAAAACAGCTAGGTTAGGAAGCTCGCGTTTTTCCACTCTCCCATACAACAAATACAGCATCCTCAGTTTACTTTCGTTTAAATCAGTGCTGTAACTAGCATGAACATTTTTCTTTCACTTTTGTTGCTTGGGAATGCATTAATACTAAAATATGACTGTTTGAGCACTGCAACACAGGCCACTTCAGCTGTAGTTGTGCGAAGCAAACATGATTTATTGCTGCTAAATGTTAGGATGTTAGTAAAGAAGTTGGTTCCCCCTAGGCCAGTACAGGTTCATGCCACTTATTTTGTCACTCACTTTTGGTCACAGGAGAACAGCTCACGATTGCTCCACTCAAACAGGGGAGGTATAACCCCGTGTTTCAGACGTTATCCCGTTGTTTTTGAGTAGTCTGTCTGCCTCTGTGAAATACTGGCAACCCACGTAAGTATTGCTTTCCAAAACTGTAAAACACTGGCCACTGACTATTATTTTATGGTATAGTGTATTTGTTTTGTATTGTTTGTTTCAAATAAAACCATTTTTGGATGCTTAAATATATATCATTTTGTAGATTAACGATGACATCTTACTCTGCCCATCCTTTTACTTTTAATAAGAACCATATTTAACAACTGAAGTAAATCTAAAATATTCTGATTGGATGAAATAGTAAACACAGAAATAAATAATATACAGATAGCATTGCTTACTCACCCTTATGAGATATTGGCGAGTGTATGTAAAGTCCACAGCAGCTTCTCTGAGCCCTGCAAATACGGTAAGTCAGCTCCTTATTTGTCAGATTCTTGTTCAGATTAACTTACCTCAGACTGCAGCTCACTAAGTTACACCAGAAGTGAGGGAATCGTTTTGCACTGTTAGTTTGCGTTTATCTGCATTTATCCGCATACTGGAATAACGGGAATGACAAAACTAATGAACCGATATATTGCCCACTTTTTTTTAATTTATATTCATTAATTAATTAATTTCTAAAGTATATTTGGTGACTCATTTTAGTCCCCACCCCTTCCCTAGTGGAATCATGTCGAAAAACTCAGAAGTGCTTCCTCTTGTGGTGACAACAGAGTAGTGTCGCTTCTCTTACAGTAGAAAATGCCACAAATGCTGTCGCTAGAACGCAGAAGCATGAGAATGGTCTGTTATATCGAACATTTATCAAACATTTTTTTATATTTCTATTGAGGAAAGTTATATTGCAATAATTAATTGTTTTATCCCCCAGCCCAAGTATTCTTCACCCTGATTTTTTTTTTTATTCTCTATAGATGTTTCTTCAAACTACATTTGCCAGCTAGGAGCCAAGGTACAGATTCTTGAGTATGACAGCAGCAAACTTCAGTCACAGGTAAGACTAAAACTCTTTCTTTTTTTTCAGCTGAACTCTCCTGCATTTCTTAAAGTTCAAATTAGTAGGCTTTACATCAAATGAATCCAGGCAGTAGTATTCTTGGCGGCTGTGAAAGATGGGGTTAGGAATCTCTAATCCATGGTGGGATGAGACAATGTATAGTGGCATGCTGCATGCTCCAAGGCAGTGGAGAGAAGCATGGGCATCCTTTAATCTTCAGTCGCCTCTTTTTGAACTCTCCCTCAGAAGAAGTGGACTTCTCTAGTCCATTTGGAGTTCACCTGTTTACCTTAGTGAAGGGCATTAAACCTTCCACTAAATGTCTCATCAGATTCATACAGCAGCTTTTTTCCACGTTTTGAGAATCTGAAACATCATACCGAGGATCACGAGTGATAGTCTGTCTATAACCTCATTATGTTTTAATGAAAGAGTATCCTCTTGTTCTTTCACCTCGGGTTCTTATGAGCCTGAGTAGGTAGAAATGAGGCCTCTAGAAGCTTGTTAGCAATTAGAGAGGTGTGGGGCAAAGCAATAAACTATGTAGGGCTTTGCGTTGTTGTTTTGAGTTTAATAATACGATACATTTTCAATGTGAGACAGTTCTGGATTGCAGACTACACTCTCGGATTATGCAACAATGGTTTTGTACTAATACATACAATCAATCGATCAATCAAACTTTATTTAAACTTCGAGTGCACTGCGGGAGACCCTTATTTACAGTGTAGCTAAGCCAATACAGAAAACAGGGATTGACAAATTGGATCGTAAAAACATACTGAATGCTATGAAAAGTAATAATGAAGACAGTAGTAAATTTAATAGTAAAAAATTAATAAAGTACTAAAATTTCAGTATAGTAACTTAACTGTCACGCTTCCGGGTTCTCCTCCCTTGCCTAATACTCTCCAGGACTCCATTTCCCATGATTCCAATCCTGATGATGTCACTCCTTCCACCAATCACACACATCTTCCTCGTTCTCAGTCACCTGAGTATTTTTTGGGTATGCAACTCCCCTGTGTTTGTTTGCCTCAGACTTTAAAAGGACTCTGGTTTGTTCTCCTCAATGCAAGGTATTGCCCTTCACTGGACTACTGAGCGTTTTTCTACTGTTTTCCTGACTTGTGTATTTGACCCTTTGCCTGTTTTTTGGATATTGCGTTTTTGTGTTTGCCCTTTTGCTCTGGTTGCTTGTGTATTTTGTATTTTCTGGTTTTTTGACTTTTTGCTAGGCTTTTGGATTCTGATTTTGGATTTGCCCTGAAACTGTTTGACCATCTTACTATTCTTCCAGTAAACCACTTCCTTTTTAAGATCCGTGAGCGTCTTTTTGTGCTTGTGCAGCATTACAGTAACAAATCAAATAAGGATAAAATAAGTAGACATTTAATAAATGGAATAAAAATGAACTTTGCAATAATAAAATACATAAATTATAAAAGTGAAACAGTAGCTAAAACATACTTAAAATATATTAGTAATAACTAAACACTAAAAACCTAATTAAAAACTAAAATCAAGTGAAACAGTTGCAGGCTGAGTAAAGGCGGTTAGAGACTAAAAGTTTAAATTCATGTTCATGTGACACGAGTGAGCAAAGCTTTAGAGCTTCCTGTAATGAATTTCAACTCACTGGTGCACTGTAGCAAAAAGCAGATTTTCCCAGTTCAGTTAAAGCTCTCAGCACCTGAAGGGTAATCCAATCACTGGAACATGTCTGGTAAAATGCATCATTTACACTGTATGCGTTTTTGTGAAGTATGATGGCATATGACCAGTAAGTACTTTATAGGTCAACAGAAGTTAATGTGTCTCTTGATGCACAGCCAGAGATGACCAGCCAAGCTTTTCATATAATACACGGTGATGGATATTGTATGTGTCCTCAGTAATGAACCTTAAAGCAGAGTGGTATGTAGAGTCTAGAAATTTCGGTACGTCACATCACATCTTTTTCCTTGTGTGCACTGGGAAACATAATTTGTTACGATACAGGAAGCCAAGCTTTTGCCTCAGTTTACATGTAAGCTTGTTAATGTGGTATTTGAAAATACATTTGTCATTCAGCCATATGCCATTGTATTTGTACTCACAAACTCTTTCAATGTCAGATCCCATCAGGGTTGTGATTTTAAAAGTGTTAAAATCAATGTTAAAGGCTTTGGAAAACATAAATTTAGTTTTCTCAACATTTAAGACTAGCTTATGATTGTAAAAAAACAGATTGTATAACATTAAAAGAAAGGTGCTGTTTTTCTGCTGGAGTACCATTGTAGTCAGCTGAGCAGTACAAGATGGTGTCACTGGCATATACAGTGGTGCTTTTTTATATTTCTGGAAAAAAGTGATCTAAAACTAAAGAAGTCCTAATAGTGCATAAAGAGAACCAAATTAAACAAATGAGACAAAATATTAGACTTGATAGTTTATATATTGAGGAAAATGATCCAATATTACATATCTGTGAGTGGCAGTAGTATGTGAACCATTGCTCTCAGTATCTGGTGTGGGCCCCTTGTGCAGCAGTAACTGCAACTAAACATTTCTGGTAACTGTTGATTAGTCCTGCACATAGGCTTGGAGGAATTTTAGCCCATTCCTCTGTCCAAACAACTTCCATTCTGTTATATTGGTGGGTTTCCTCTCATGAACTGCTTGCTTCAGGTCCTTCCACAACATTTCTATAGGATTAAGGTCAGGCCATTTAAAAACATAGACTTCTTTCTTCTTTAACCATTTTTTGATGGAACGACTTGTGTCGTTGTCTTGCTGAATGACCCACGTTCTCTTGATTTTCAGCTCACGCACAAATGTCCTGACATTTTCCTTTAGAATTTGCTGGTATAATTTAGAGTTCATTGTTCCATCAATGTTGGCAAGCTGTCCTGGCCCAGATTCTGCAAGATGCTGGAATGCAGTCCAAACATAACGCATCTCATTTAAACCAGAAAGATCTATTTTGGTGTCATCCGTGCACAAAACATTGTTCCAGTTGACTTCTGGCTTGTCCATGTGATCTTTAGCAAAATGCAAATGGGCGGCAATGATGTTTTTGGAGAGCAGCGGCTTTCTCCTTGCAGCCCTGCCATGTACATCACTGTTATTCAGTGTTCTCCTGATGGTGGACTCATGAACATTAACATTAGCCCTTTAGTTCCTTAGAAGTTACCTTGGATTCCTTTGTGACCTTGCGGACTGCTACACACCTTGTTCTTGGTGTGTTCTTTGTTGGTCGACTACTCCTGGGGAGCATAATAATGGTCTTGAATTTCCTCTGACTGAGGGATTGGTGTAGTCCGAACTCTTGAGATGGTTTTGTAACCTTTTTCCAGCCTGATAAGCATCAACAACTCTTCTTCTTAGGTCCTCAGAAATCTCCTTTGTTCATGCCATGATAGACTTCCACAAATGTGTTGTGAAGATCAGACTGTGACACCTGACTCTAATTTTGCCTTCAAATTATCTGCTAATCCTAAAGGTTCACATACTTCCGCCACTCACAGATATGTAAAATTGGATCATTTTCCTCATTAAATCAATGACTAAGTCAAATATTTTTGTCTAATTTATTTAATTTGGTTCTCTCTTACTTTTACTTTTACTATTACTAATTTGGTTATCTTTTACTACTATTTTCTACTATTAAGATGTATGTAAAATTCTGATGAAATTTATGCAGAAGTATAGAAAATTCTAAAGGGTTCACAAATTTTTTAGCATCACTGTAAATGTCCCTTGCAATCGACAATTGAGGTGGCAATGTAATTAACAGGCCTATAAATATTAAATAATACTAGTCCGAGGACTGAACCTTGAGTGACCCCCTTAGTTACCGGTAGTAGCTCTGACTGACTTTATCCAAGTCCCACACATTGCTGTCTATCGAAGAGATAATTTCTAATTCGTTTGGTAGCCCTGTGGTCGAAACCGATATTTTTAGACTATTTATAATTAGGGAATGACAAACTGTATCAAAGACTTTAGAGAGATCAGTAAAACTGACTGCACAATGTTTCTTTTTATCGATGGCACTGAAAATATCATCTAAGATGAGAGTAGCAGCAAAAACTGTGCTGGTAGTCTGACAAGACTGAATTTCCATGGAGAAATGTCTTCAGTTGATCATTCACTAGGGTTTTTAGGAATTGTATTTTTTTTCCAGTATTCATGTTGATGAGGGCTTTGGCTACTAATCGAGGAGAGAAAGGGTGAATTGTAAATAGACCATGTCTTACAGCGGCTCTATTTAATTGAGAGGCGCTTCCCTATTAGTTTTAGCAAATAAATGTCGAGCAGCTGCAAAGTGCTTGGCAGATCCTCTCTGATCAGTAATCTGTTGATCATTAATTACAATATGGGTTGGGATAGGAATTGATTTGCTTTTGAGCAAATTAACTGTCTTCCAGAATTCAAAGGAGTTTGAAGCTGAATTTGCAAATATTGGAAGGTAAAATTCTGCTTTAGCTTTTCTGATGTAGGGTGTACAATTATTCCTTAGCTGCCTGACGGTAAGCCATTGGTCCATGCTTGAATTTCTTACATTGAGCAAGGAAGATATTTCAGAGTTGAACCTAGGATTTGATCTCAGATTCTAACATTTTTATAAAGTTTGTTTATACTTGTTAATCACCACCAGGAAAGTTTTGCTAAAATGGTCTAACGCAAAATCAGTATCTGGAATTTTAGAAGTGTGGTAGGTCATTTAAGAAGCCTTGGTCATTATGTTAAAGATTATTCTAACCATCATCGGAGAGCCTGACTTTATTATGCTAATGTTTCTAATGTATCCGATAGGGCAGTGGTCTCTAAAACCAGCATCAAATACACCTATAGAAGGAATCTATCAGGTATGTTCGATAAAATTAAATCTATTAGTGTTGACTTGGTGAGGTCATGTAAGTTTGGTCGTGTAAGTTTAGTTGCATCCACGCACTTGCTTCAGTGATTAGATACATTTGTTAACCAACTTTATTAAAATCACTTAGGATCAGCATTTCTGAGTTGATTTAAAACTTCAGCTAAATCATCTGCGCGGAAGGAGGTCTAAAGATTCCAGCTAACACAAAACTGTGTCCTGTGCATGCTTTTAGGGTTAAAAACTCAAACATTTTTCTTTAGATAATTGAGTTTTAACTTGAATAATAGATTTTACATAAATAGCCACTTCACCACCCCTTGCTTTCCTATTGTTGTTTATTAAATAGCGATGATATTACACTAGATACTACATGATATTACACTAGATATTACACTAGATACTACACTATCAACTCTGTATAGAATAAAACCTGGGCTGCTTCCGAGTTAGACAGATTTTTTACCAGAATTCAGTCAGAACTACAATGTATCATGTTGAAGAAGGCTCTGAATGTTTAAATTAATTATGCCTATACCTTTTCTGTGCTTGAAACTAATAGGATTTGTGAATAATAATTTGTGAAGAGAACTGTGGAAGTTTAACAAATAATAATAATCGCATTATGAATGTTTGAATGCTTAGCTAGGAGGCCAAGAAGCTGCTGCGTAATGTCATTCACCTTGGCACCTGAGAAGGAATTAGTGGTTACCAAGTTTCTGTTGAGGTATCTGACAATAGAGTCCCCAGCAATCAGTGTGATTGGTGAAGACTGCAGCATGAGCCACACTGATCAGCAAGAAAGTAGCATGAAAGCACAGGAAGTGAGAGGGGAACAGGGGATCCGTGTTTAGGGTCAAACAGGTCAAAGTAGATTTATCAATCATTGATTTCTGTTTCATTTGCATTGTACCTATTGTCCGAACTTTTTTGGAACTGGGTTAGTACAAGAGCAATTGTAGTTCGACTGTAATATTGCTGTTGTGTCTCTTGCTTCGTCCAGGCCTGTAGCCGTAACAGCTTATCTAAGATAACAATGAAGATAATTCTCCTTATGTCTTACTGACCTGCTGTGAAAGACTCACCAGTTTTTCCCCTCTTTCTGGTGATAGAGCTTTCTTGTCTCTTGACTAAACGTTTATCTACATTGCTTTAAAAGCAATAATATTACCTTAATATATCAAGACAACTAGCATGTTCAGCTTACTTCTTGCGCAAAGTCAATCCTTTGCTTAGCCTCAAAGGCTTCAGTGAAATCAGGTGCATGAGAGAAAATGCTTGTCTCTCCATGTAGGGACTTGTGTCTGCCTGCATAATTTATACTAGATGCAGCGTGTATAATTCAGAGGCAACAAACTAATGGATGTAAAGAAGAATATGAACGTTTAATTTTTTTAATGAAACTTGTAATCTTTTTGATTGGCTTGTTTTATCTGTCCTTTTTTAATACTGATGCATACCTCAAAATGTCAGTCTCAATGTCTGTATGGTTTATTTCATTTTAATGTTGATTGAAAAAGTACTGCATATCTAATAATTTAATACATTTTGCACACGTAGGTGGATAATTCATTAATTCATAATTCCCCAGTCACAGTATAAGCATTCTGATTAATGCATAGTTGGGACAGTACCTCAAAATAACTACATAACCTTATAATTTCTAATTTTGAATCAGGCCTAGACATACTAGCAACATTCAGTAGGTTATATGATTGATTAATTGGCTTAAATCATCTCTTCTCCATCTTAATAAGAAAGCCAAAGAAATTCAGACATCACCAGCATTGGCTCCGTTATTTCCTGTCAAGAGTAAGATTACGGACATGTTGGTCTCTCTGCAAGGTATTCTTTATACAAACTTTGGTAAAACTCTGATGGAAATTGTAAATTTCATTTAATGATACAGCTAGATAGGCAAGTATACGATCTTCATTACAGTCTAGAATTGTGACAACAAAAATGACTATACTACCACACCCCTAGTAATCTGGTGGAAAAAGCTTGATGCAGTAATTTGTAAATTTATTTGGAACAGTAGCCTAAAATCAAATTAGCCACACAGTGTTATTCTACAATGAAGAGAGGTTTATCCTTATCTAATTTTAGAATGTACCATAAAGCTTTTTTTGTGCATTAAAGGTCTGGTTTGACCCACTCTCTCACATTGCTTGGAGATACATTGAAGAACAGTTAAATCAGCCTATCAGACTTCAAGATGTATTGTTTTCCGGGGTGTCGATAAAATACTGTTTGCTAAACTGGTCCCATTATGACTAACACTATCACAAATTTCAGAGCTGTGGAGAAATCTTCTTAGTTATAGTGACAGGACATTTACAAACAAAAGAAATATAAAATCTGGCACTAAACCATTTATCTTGGAGCAATGGAGAAGACAGCACGTTAAAACACTATGTGAAGATGTATTTAATTCAAAGGGGAGGTCAAGCTTTGAAAATTTAGTAACAACCTTCAATATACCAAGATCTTCCTTTATTTTTTACAATTACAATCAGCCCTGTTTTAAAAATGAAACAAAAAAGGCTAACAACAACAACTCACTAAATCATCTTTAGGTCATCATACAGGTGTAAGTAAGGAATGTTGACCATGGTCCAGTTCATTCATTTCAAATATTAGACATAATTTGTAGTAGACAGGGAACCAGATATTGAAAGGTTGCAGTGTGGTTATGCTTTTGTCTAATGCCAGAGTAACCCACCAATTGTTGTGTAGTTCAATACCATTGGCCTGGGTGAGTTGATATTAACGTTGCAAAATTAAAAGTCCTGACCAATGATGTATGGTCATATGGTATAATAATAATTGCGTACACAATTGAGCTGTGAAAGAAGCTGCTGATGAGTCACTGAAAAAAACAAATGTTAAGTGCTTGAGATTAAAGAAACAATCAAAAAGGAAATGGTTTTAATTCAGCCCCGTTCTCATAGGCTTAATACACATTAAAAATAATCATAATTAAATAATAAAATATCAATGTTGAAGCTAAACAGTTGAAAATGGCCATTTCCACTATCTGGTCAAAAATTAAGAATATTAAAACAATTGGAGTTGTTAAGAATCTGCCAGGAAGAGGACACCACACACAGTCAGAAGGATGCTTTGATTGGACAAAGAATCTCTAAGGGTCACAGACGGGGAATTGCAGACATTAGTTAGGTGCTGGGGTAAGAATGTCTCCCGAACCACAAACACTGCCTATATAGCCACAAGTTGTTAGTTGATTGCCAGAAGAAAACCTCTGCTGTCAAAGACGGACAAACTCAAGCTTCCCCAGTTTGCCAGATGTTACTTGAACTTTCAGGGGGAACTTTTTAAAACAAAACCAGTTCCAGGTTGCTTAAACTGGGCCATAGGTTGGATCTTCCAGCAGGATAGTGATCCAAAAGCACACTTCAAAATCAACACAAAAATGGTTCACTTATCACAGAATTAAATTTTGCTGTGACCACCCCAGTTCCCTGACCTAAACCCTATAGAAAACCTATGCGATGAGATGAAGAGGAGTGTCCACAGTGTGGGCCTCAGAATCTGAAGGAACTGTTTTGTGAGGAAAGGTCACAGATCTCTTGCCATGTGTTCTCCGGTCTATAGGAAAAGACTCAGAGCTGTTAATATTGCAAAGGGAGGCTGCATAAAGTATATAATTAACGATTGTGGCACACACAAATTTGAGAAAAAAGCTTTTTTTTATCTGAAAAGATTGCGCTTTTTTAGCCATTGTATTGTTTAAACGTTAGATAAGTAAAGGTTAGTTTTTTATATATTTTGAGTGAAAGATCATAAGGATGAGCAATAAAGAATGTTTTTTACATCCTGTTTTGCTCATGTTTATCAGGGGTGCCAATATTTGTAAAGGGCACTCTGCTACATACGGCTGTTTGTTTACACCAGCAGAAAAGGCACATGAACACAGCTGGGGATAGCAAGAAGGTCACCTCTAGCTATACAATTCCACTCTACGGTAGCCACAAGACTCACACTTAACAGGTCAACACAAAATAACACAAATAACGCATATACGTCTGAGACTAACAGAACAACCACATTAATAACATAAACAACAACATTTAACATTCCTTTGGCAGAGGGGTTGGAGCGTGTGTGTGATGGGGGGGCAATAAGGGTTGGTTTTGGGAACAAGAAGAAATGTGTTATTGCAAATAACTTCACAGCTATGATTTGCGTGTTTGTACGACTAGAAGCCATGATGTTATTCGCAATTGCTCTTAAGTACAGCAAATGGTCATTGTTGAACATATATGTCCAAAAGAATCTAGACATCCCTTCTAATTAGTGAATTCAGCTAGTTAAGGTGCACCCACTGCTGACACATGTTCAGTTGCACACACACGGTTTGAATAGCCTATATAAAAAGCATTTACCTATACAGTAGGATGCTCTGGAGCAGCTGCACATGAGCCTAAGGTTATCATGCCTAATATCAAAAGCTGGCTAGAGAGCTATAAATCCCCCCTGCATTGTGCTGTGAAGCGGGGGAAGTGTGCTATTTGTATCGATGAAGCACCATCCCACTTTGGGACGAGTTGAAGTGGCGTTTGTGGTCCAGAGCTAATCATCCAAAATCAGTACCTGACATCACCAATGCTTTTGAGGCTGAATGCAATCAAATTCTTAGAGCAGTGCTCCAAACAGCAGTGCTATAAAGCTTTCACAGAAGATTAGAGGCGGTTACTGCAAACTCCTGATTAATACCCTTGATTTTAGAAGAAATATTGGATGAACAGATGTCCACAAACTTTTGGACATATAGCGTATGCCTTCAGTATTGACAAGTTATTAGTTAGCAGTAGCTTAGAGTAAAGTGACCATTGAGTAAAGTGACCGACACTTTTCAACGAAACAGATTTTGTTTTGTACAAAAAAAAAGACTAACCCATTTCTCTGGTAATCATGCAATGGTAACAGTTCTGTCTTTGTTTTGTGCCAGTGTAATGAAGGAGCCTTGCGCTCTCTACGAAAGGGAATGACCCTCTACCACTCTGAGTCAAAGCTGTCTTCCCTCCCTCAGTGCCAGGAGGCCCTGCTCAACGTGAGTACCCAGACATATCTCCCAAAACAAAGTTATAGCTACATCAATGAGATCAGGCATGTTCTTATGGGTCTAGAATAAAAAGAGATCAATACGAACATGAATGTGAGGCAAATCACTAATCTACGACAGCCCCATTACAGAATTTCTGAACCAATAATGATAACCGATAATACACACCTTGCTGTGGATGATATGCATGTATGTATGTGTGTGTATAAACCGATCAGGCATAACATTATGACCACCTCCTTGTTTCTACGCTCATTGTCCATTTTATTAGCTCCACTTACTATATAGGTGCACTTTGTAGTTCTACGATTACAGACTGTAGTCCATCTGTTTCTCTGCATACTTTGTTAGCCCCTTTTACCCTGTTCTTCAGTGGTCAGGACCTCCATGGACCCTCACAGAGCAGGTACTGTTTGGGTGGTGGATCATTCTCAGCACTGCAGTAACACTGACGTGGTGGTGGTTTGTTTTTGTGTGTGTTGCACTGGTCTGAGTGGATCAGTCACAGCAGTGCTGCTGGAGTTTTTAAACACCTCAATGTCACTGCTGGACTGAGAATAGTCCAGCAACCAAAAATATCCAACCAACAGCGTCCTGTGGGCAGCGTCCTGTGACCACTGATGAAGGACTAGAAGATGACCAACACAAACTGTGCAGCAGCGGATGAGCTATTGTCTCTGTCTTCACATCTACAAGGTGGACTTACAAGTTAGGAGTGTCTAATAGAGTGGACAGCAAGTGGACACAGTGTTTAAAAACTCCAGCAGCACTGCTGTCTGATCCACTCATACCAGCACAACACACACTGACACACCACCACCATGTCAGTGTTACTGCAGTGCTAAGAATGATCCACCACCCAAATAGTACCTGCTCTGTGAGGGTCCATGGGGGTCCTGACCACTGAAGAACAGGGTAAAAGGGGGCTAACAAAGTATGCAGAGAAACAGATTGACTATAGTCTGTAATCGTAAAACTACAACGTGCATATATATATATATGTGTGTGTGTGTGTGTGTGTGTGTGTGTGTGTGCATATATGTATATGTATATATATATATATATATATATATATGTATATGTATATACACACACACACACACAAATATGAGCATTTACAATTTGTAAACATCGTATGTTATTCAGTAGTCATCCTTTTCCAGATCCACTTGCAGTGGTAGGTGAATGTAACCTTAGATGTCTTGCCCAAGCAGTGTACCTGCCTTAATTGGAACTGGATTGGTGTTACCACTGTTCTCTATTTGAGTGAATTTTAAAGAATGAAAATGTCCAGTACAAGTGATTACATGTGAGCTAAATGTCAAAGGCTTGATCAGCCAGAGAGAAAAGAGCTCTGACAGTGCATTAAAAAAAAGGTTTAAAACTGGTGCTCACATTTAACAGATCCAGTAGATCGAAACCGGTGTTATTACCTTGCTGTGCTAAGTGTTGTTACTGAGCAACATCTATAATAGGAGAAAAATCAACCTCAACTTCAATTTCTCATACTACTGTTAAACTTTTTAAGCATAAATAAAGTTAGTCATCTTCTTCTGATTATCATTAGCAATATGGCTGCCATATGCGAATTAACGCTTCTGAAATAATCCATAATTACTTAAAAATTCTGTAACTCAAGAATGCTTCATCAAAAAAAAAATGAAACTTGGTACTATTATACTATGAAGTCTACAGATAAGCAGTTGGTGCCATGTGATTCAGTTCTCTGACCTAAATAACTTGGTGATTACATGTTATGTCAGAAATTGGACTCCTTGTTTGGTATTTAGACTTAGTCATTCAAATACTACAGCTTATTATACAAAGTTCAGAAGGTCAGTCTGTACAAACAAAAATCGGTGAACGTCTTTGTTGAAGTCCCCTGATCAATAATCGTGACATATGGAGATCTTGTGACAAATTCTGACCTACTTTTACTTAGCTTCTGTATGGCACAAAAAGGCCCCTAATGGGCCCCATTGGGCCTCATTATGGAATGCATATTGAACGGTTTAACACTGGTAACTAAATCACTTTGCAAGCACAACTATGTCAGAAATTTCACCCGTAGTCATGCATCTATGTTGACAGTCTTTAGAATGTTCTACAAAACTCAATAGATCAGTACATAGAAATTAAGCATGTATCATGTTTAAAGACCACTGCTCAACAGTTGAGGCACTTTGATAAACTCTGACTTCCTTGCATTTTTCATCCTCTCTCTAAGATAAGGCCCAAACTGAATTAGACCTTGTTAGGGCTGACTGACTCAAACTGCATAAGGGGTTATTGTGCTTATGTGTGCTTTAACCCGCAGATTGCCACTTGCAGCTATATTAAGGATTCAGAATCTATGAGACTGATGACATATATGACAAAACATGGCCGCCATCGGCCAATCAGATTTCAGCAGGTATTGGACAGCCTTAAAATTGGCCAATCAACTCGAATCGCCACCTTTTATTACAATTTTGCTACAAATGCTCATTGTTTGAACTTGACCTATTGAACTTTGAACTAGTCCTACCGTTTATACCTTATCATTTCAAATCTGGTCATAACCTGAAGACTGGAGTCTGAAAGTAAATTATTATCAAAAAAATGTTGACTTTTTCACAAAGCATGTCTGCAACATGTCAATGAATCCATCTGGGTGGAGTTTTTACGACTCTATTAACTGCAATTCAGATGTACATCATCTGATTGAGACCAAAATTGGTACAGATAGACAGAATAATACTCTGAGGAAGCATGCCAATTGTGGTCTAAACTGACCTCTGGGGGCGCTACAACATGTAATAATATATAAATTATATAAAATGAATATATCTCTTGTTTGGTTTACGTTAAAGAATTGCAAATGTTGACAAAATACTTTGCCCTTAGACATGTTTGACTAAATTGTACTGGTAATTGAACATTGTGATTTCTATATATTTTAATGACAGTAGTTCTGTGACAATAAGGCACAGGTACAAGTTTCATAGATTAGTGGGCATATAGGGAGCGCTGAAACAATCATTCCACATGGTGGGCATATATGCAAATTCATCACATTATAAAACAATAATTTTATATATGTATTCCAAAAACCCAACAAGTATTGTTTCAGTGTTTATGCACAAACCAAATAAGTCATTCTGCTGCAGCATGTAAAAGTCATTTACTGCCAAAGTTGCCAAATCGCTTCATTAAGTTGGTATATTTGCACCCCATCAAATGGACTCATAAGTCAGTTTGAACAATGCATAAAATGAGTATTACCAATAAGTAAACCACCAAAACAGCAACCTTTAATTTAATGTCTTTTACAATGAACATATCAAAGATGAAGTCCAACTACAGCAACATTTTGAAGTAATTGGCAGCTAAAGTTGCCAAATCAGCTCCTTTGTACCCCGTCGGATTGTCTCATTAGTCAAATTCAAAACGGCAAAACAGTCATGCAGTGACATCACATGACACAGGTGAGTAGGACACCAATTTTACCAGAATTTTGGTCCTAATTCTGACATTTGTGAGTGACATTTTCAGAACACTGTATGCCACATAGTGTGCACAAAATATTGTTTTTTATTTCTGTGTATGTATAAATTGATGAGATGCACATATGTCTTTATTAGCTATGCCTAAAAGGAACCATATACATAATAAAATGTCAAAATGTAAGTAATCTAGGTTAAATTACCATTTGTGACGCATCACAGGCATAGAGATTTAAGTTTAACAATCTGTAAATGTAAATAACAGATGAGAGTGACTTCTTATAGCAAAATAAGCAAAGCAGCTATGTCATATGGAGGCTCACTCTCCTGATTTCTAGGCTTGGACATCATATTAAAACTGTGCTGCCCTCCAGAAGTTGGAGATGGTTGTCTCTGCATTTCAGCCTAAACATGATTAAACATCTATACCATTGTCATTATTCATTTGAAAAGTGGCACCATGGCATTCACATTGGCTTGCTTAGCAACCATTGCTATCTGCTAATCCCTCAAGCTTTCAGTTTTTTGTCAGTGTATTATCAGTTTGTTTGAAAACTCCAGCTGGGGTCAAAAGATGTACCTGGGGGACCTGTAAAAGCAAGATCCCGTGGGGGATGGAGTAGTGCATGTTGTGTTTTACCCATTTTCAAAGCTAGAAACAAATTGTAAAAATGTTGTTGTTGTCAGTAGTCTACAAATAAAGGGCTTACAATGCATTTTTACTTCAAAAGCTAAAATGGGCTTTGTCAATATTTTGACAAAAATTTTAATGCAAGTCAATAAAAGTAAGACATAAACAAATGGTCCATAAACATTATTCATGCCTGCCATGGCAGTGTGCTTTAGCCTAGAATCTTTAGGTTTGGGTTTTTGCTGCATTGTTTTTCCTTGTCTTTTTACAGCTCTATTTTTGGTTGTGGGTTGTTAGATCTGGTTTCTCTCACTCTCGCTAGTCAGGACAGTCTGTTGTGTGTTATGATGTGTGATTCATGTCGTTATTTTTAACCCTTTGAAGGCTAAAAGCAGAGATATGTTGACTTCTGCTGGCAAGTGTTGGTTTTTTGAAGCAAACAGGAGTGGAGACTTGAGGAAAATTAAGTTTAATGAACGCACATCTTCTCAACCAAATAAGTCTCATGAAGCTTACACACTGATGAACTTATAGTCGCAAAATGTAAACCACACCGTCAGTTGTCTCTTTGTCTCAACGAACCCCCAGAACCCCCCACGGAATGGACAACTGCCTCTACCTTTGTAATTAAAATAGAGGTGTTGAGGCCCACCCTAGGAACTGGGATGGGTCCGAGATATCACCATCAGCAAATGGCATTGCTAGATTGGGGAGCTACAGATAACCAGATGTGAGACAGGCTAACCATTGGAGGTCGTTAAATGACAAAGGACTGCTTTCCACAGCCCCCACACATCACCCAAGAGAGACGTACAAAATGCATACTAGATTAATACAAAAAGGCAAGGGAAAAACAGGGAAAAGGTTTAAGATAAGTTACAAAGTTAATAAGGAACAAATAAAGTAAAATGAAATAAAATAATATTTAACACTCCCCCCTTTTGACCATACAAAAGTATGGTCAACATAGGTTAATTATTCATATACCTGTCTGGACATCAGGTATAGGCATTTAATGAAATCATTTGTCACCACAGAAATATCTCTTACTATAGTAAGTTCTACATCCGTTTGTGCTATATGTACATGTTGCATATTCCTAGCTGTACAGATACAACAACAATGTATCATGGAATAAATTATCAGTACAATAACACAAAATGTGACAAAGATCAGTAAAAATTCACGACTGTACAGCCACCATGAACCCAACCAAACACTCAGCCAATCTCCTCTGTTTTGATCCATGTGGTAATACGATTATGTAGATCATTTAGATCATTAATATATATAAGATCTGTAGTAGGATCAAAAACATCAGAGCAGCATTCGGGACCAACTATTGCACAAACCCCTCCTTGTTGAGCCAAAACATAGTCCCATGCAAATTTATTTTGTCAAACCCTTTGCGTGTGTATGAACTTGATATTTGGTTTGACATTGCTCTCCATTTACTTCAAGAGTAAATGTTGCATCAATGTTTATGAAAGAAGAGATTAATGATGACAACTCAGGAGTTAATGTTGCGTTGCATCTCTGAAATTTTTGCAGCATAAGCTGACATCCTTTATGAGGAGGCAAAAGATCTAGAGTACCATTTTTATGTAGCCGGACATTGTCTGGTACCAAATATTTAGTATTGGCAAACGCTTCATTGTCTTTGTATTGCATCTAGATATCAGTCAGAAACAATGTGACACTTTCACTTCTTTTGAGGTTCTTTCCATCAACATTACAAATCTGGCCACAAAAAAGAACGCATTTTCATTATTTAACATTTACAGACCACCAGGGCCCTACACAGAATTTTTAAAAGAATTTAGTGATTTCGCTGCAAACCTAGCTGTGTGCAATGATAAATTAATGATTGTAGGAGATTTTAATATCCATTTTGAGAAGGCAAATGACCCACTAAAAAAGGCATTTACTTCAATCCTAGACTCTGTTGGTATTACCCAAAATGTAACAGGGCCTACGCACTACTGTAGTCACACTTTAGATCTAGTTCTGACACTTGGACTTGACATAGACAGGCTTAGTATCCTACTGCAAACCTCAGTAATCTCTGACCATTACTTAATTTCTTATGAGCTACGTCTTAGCCATAATATATGTACGTCCCCTCGCTATTCTACAAAGCGCTCAATAAAACCATTTACCGCCCTACAGTTGTCAAACTAAATACAAGTTAAACATTCCACAGATTTGTTCTACATTGTTCTACCAGGCTTAAAACTATTGACCAAGCAAAAGTCAAAATGCTATTAAAGGTAGACAAGTGTGTCATGCTCTTTTACAAGTTATTTGAACTCTTTTACAAATTTATTGAGCAGACTGATGTGACTATTTATCCATTTGTTAAAAGGAGGGCAGTATAACTTTGTTGCTGCACCGCTCTGTGGCACAAACCCTGTATGTATGAATAGCCAGCACATGCAAGCTGTAGCAGTCACTATACCCATGCCACACAGAAGCAGTATGTGTGAATCAGCCCTAAGAGGTTGGTTTCATGCACCTCTTGTGTTTTTGTGTAAACTAACTGATCTGTTTATGTTCTTTTGTTAGGGAACAGGACGACTACACACCAGCAAGCCCTCACCGTCAACAGGGTTCCTCTCCTCTGTGGGAAAACCTGAAGATGTTATTCATACTATGAAGGTACTACTTAATTAAACTTGGATTGCTACTAACAGAATATTCATGACGTCTATTTCAGAGAGTCCATGCCTGTGCAGCATGCATGGATACACCTGCATGTTCCATTCTGTTTTTTCTTTTTTAGTGAACTACTGACTGTTGTTTCTTTCAGACGTTCTGCACAGGTTAAGTTTTCCACTGATGGGTGAACACAACTCATGTCCTATTATGTAACAGCAGGACTTGGAGGTTCATGAAAACTTGAACAAGCAGCTTCCAGATGACTATGAGGAAGACCTGAGTGAGAAAGAAAAGGCCATTGTGCGAGAGATGTGTAATGTGAGCAGAACTTTGTTGCCTCTCTCTCTTTCTCTTTCACACATACTGATTCAGTTTTAAAATTGTCAGCATGTAGTTTGAAAATGTGAACTGGAATTTGCCAACAGCTCATTAGTCCTTCAATTGAGTACTAAGTATAAATAGACAAACTCTAGATGATAATGCACTTAATCTTGGCATATTTAGAAGTTGTAGATGACCTTAAGGCTGCACTTAAAAGAGCATTCTAGAACCAGATTTCTAGAATGTTAAGTAAATTTGAAAGATTTAGATTTATCATGAGTTAAACTTTTTAAAATAAAAATGCTGTCCCATGTTTCCCTGTCACTACCAAAACAAAAAAACTGCATCCAAAACCACATACTACCATACTAAATAGCATGCCAAAAATAGTACACCACCATGAGAAATGCATAGTACATATGGTGGTATGTGATTTTGGATGCAGCCCAAAGGGTTTTGGTCCTATAGGTGAAGCTACATCCCTGCATGTGAGACTGCATGTAGACCCCATTGTTTTGTAAATATGCCCTAAATTTGAAAGTCTGAAAGCCAGTGTGTAAGAATTGTCACCACCAAAACACATATTTTCTGCAATTAGGAAACTTTTAGAATTGTATGTGTATATATTGTTCAAAGTTGTGTTTACTGATTAGTGTTTTTGACTGCTCAAAATGAGCAAAAATCACCACTACCAAAACAGTCACTACCAAAACAAGTTTCTGAGATGTTATTATTGTATTGGTGACAAAATGGAATGTTCAGTCATTTATTTTGATAAAACAAACATAATCAAGGTAACCCCTAGCTGATGGAGAGAGGGGTCTGTATGGCCCTTCTGTGGAATGTTGGAGCCAGGGAATATAGGGCTTTGTACAATAGCATCTCTTACCTGTAATCTACAATGGGGATGGTCAGATTTGCATTTTAAAAGGCCATTGTGAGCTTGAGTTATGCTTTCCTTTGAGAAAGTTTTTGTTCTAATTTTGTATGTATGTCTACATGGGCTTTGCTTCTAGGTGGTGTTGGGCAAGCTGGGCGATGCAGCAGGATCAAAGCCTTCCATCCAGCAGCATCTGTCTGGGAATCTGTTCAAAGGCCCTCTGTAGCAGCTTAAAACAACCCCACCTCACCCCTTCATCCCAGTCCCCACCCACCCACCATGATCGAACACGGGATGGTGCAATAGTCATAGTACATGAGTCCTGGACCTCCTTCAGACTGATGCAGCGTTAAAGATGAGCACTTTCTCTGTTTTGAGCAAAAGATCACTTTGGCTAGTGCGTCAAAATAAGTTAGAGACTTACATGTGTATCTTACTTTGCGATACTGCCCTTCCTCATTAGCATAACTAATATACATTGTAGATATCACTTTTTATTGTGTGAAAGAATGTACAAAAGCCTAGTCATGTTGTTATTACTTCTTTTGAATGTGTTAACTTTTAGTGGTCATGTGCATTACAAGTTTTTGTTAAGTGAAGATACAACTGAACAATGACAAGGTTTTTTTAATAGTGCAACTACTTTTTTTAAAAGATTCATCAAATACTCATGTAATATCAGTGTTTTTTTCAGAAGTATCAGACAATATAAATATATAAAAACCCACTGGATCACTACTCTATCCAAGAAATAGCACTGTTCTTCCATTTTAGTTGTGTAATCTCAACAATTTACAGTAGTGTGCTGTGCATGCCTGACAATCATGTTTCTCAGGTCTGGGGAAAGGACAGCTGTAGAGTCATGCAGGAACTTTATGACTATATAATAGCCACAAAACAGCTCTGCCTCTTTCCACCTCCTCTGTGAATAGTTTTGCCCCAGGTTCAAACTTTGTTTTGGATAGCTGAAGACAATTGCAGCATCCATAGTATGTTTAAAAGACAAATTGTTTGCTAATTTAATGGCTATGTCATCATGGTTTGTCATACAACCTAAGGCTATCATTGAACTACCACAAAAATGGAATATTTTATAGACCTTGATGAACATTTCTAATCTTCTGGATTCAGCAGATTATGTTCAGCCATGCTACTGCATGTTAATGACTGTCTTTGTGTGTAAATGTGAATTTTATCTTTCAGGGTATCTTTCATAATAACCACAAAGAAGACAAGCTTGATGTAAGGGACATTCACAGGCAAATTGAAGATTAATTGAGAAATACCAATTAAGGTGGAAAAGTCATGAAAATTAGAATGCACTAGAGTCAGAAGCGTCTTTCTTGAAAGTCCATTGAAAGACTGGTTCATCTACTTCCAAATGAAAATCACATTTTTATATATTGTTTTTGCTTTATCCAAAATTAAAAAAAGAAAAAGAAAATGATAGAAAATCTAATTTAAGTTCATGAAAACTGTAGTTACAACATGATTTTACTAACCTTTTAGTAACCATTGGCATTGTTGGGATGACAAAAGCAAAAACAGAATATATAAATGTTAATTTTTCTCAGAATTAATTTGAATTAAAAGCAATAACTTTATATTTTCTGATCTGCTGCCGTATACGCTCCAGGACATTTCTTTTGTAATATTTTCTAACTCTGTGTGTGAGACCCTGAAGTGGACACCTAAATCAGCAGTGTTAATGTCAAATTCTACCCTTATGGCCAGTGTATTACTTACTTCCAAAAATCTGGCTTTTGTTTCTGGGCCATTATGTTTAGTATAAGGCTTTAACAGTACAGCATGGAATAGCAGATCAATTTTTTCATAAGACAGCAGCTAGAATTAAATCCATCTTGTTCAAGTTTAGTTATTCTAAGCATGTTTTGAAAAGATAAATTTCACTTTGCTTGGTTATAGTAAGTCATAGTAAATGTTACAATTTAAGGACCCATTTATTTTACCAGCACTGTTTTTTTAGAATCTTGCTCTAGCATAGTTTTATCCAGAGCAGAATAAGCGAGCAAGAAACGTTTCCCCAGAAAAGGTTTAAGTGTGCCTCCTCTGGAATACATCAAAATGATCCTGTTCCTTCCAGGGCACTGCCCAACTGTGCAATCTCAACACTGATCCTTGGCCAACGACCTGGCTCCATTTGTTGTTATCGCTTTAAGCAGTGGCATTAGTTCTACTAAAAACTAATATCCTAACATTTTGCCTCTTTGCCTTTTCAATTTTTTTGTATTGGTGTTCCAGTTACAGATTAAGTTGGAATCATCTAGATTTCTGCATGACTATCTCATAAAATAAAATGACATCTAATCTTCAATACAGTTTAAATAAGGATGCCAGTATTATTGATAAAGGTATTTAAAATACCACTTTGAAATACAAAATTCCACTTTAAAATGTGTGTGTGTAATGGAAAAACCTATGATTTACAGTTCTGTCCTGTCACAATACTAAACTACACTTCCAAATCGACTCATTACAAACAGAGAAAGTTCTGGTGCATTTTAGAGCAGGTGAGCTCCATAGATTTCTTAGTGTCTCAGTCCTTGTCCTAATGCTTGCCTAAAAAGGGAGTTCAATTGATTTTTTTTTAATTAATCCACAATTAAAATGTTATAATGTAAACAAAGGCATGCAGAGGGGTTTGATATGAAATGCTTCATCTTAAAAAAAAAAAAACTTTCAGAATTGTTCACAGTAGTGTTGATAGGAACTGGACGTCCAAAGAGCCCCTGAAGGCTCCGTCACAGAAAATGTTCACTTGAAATGCCTAAGACATTGTTTTACAATAGTTCTGACATGAAGGCTTTGTCCTAAAACATTTTTAAAAATTCATTCAAGGTAGGGTGCATGCAGGGCAACCCAAATAAAATAGAACAAGGAAAAAAAAAAAACTTTCATCAGGTTTACCACTATTTTACAATTCTCAACAGATCGTAAATAAATGCTTTACATGTTTGATCCATTCTACCACCGACATTATTCAAGTCAAGGGCTTAGTGAGAACGGGGATTCATAAATGCTCACTGAAGATTTTTGTACTTTTAAAATGCTGTTAGGTTTTTACAGCAGGAGTTGGATCTCTGCGTGCCAGGTGACGGGCAGAAGTGGCTGCTCTTGTGACGACTTCGCAGCCGCTTTTATTAGCAGCTGCCACTGAGCGGCCACATCGCCGCCACTTTTATTGGCAACTGCCATCGAGCAGCTACATTGCGGCCACAACGCGGCCACTTCGAGGCCACATCGGGGCCACTTTTATTAGCGACCGCCACTTCACAGCCACTTTCATTAGCGACCATCACTTCACTGCCACTGCTCCGTCACTTTTAAATTTACATTTTAAATAAATCGCAGTCCACGCCAAAATACATTCCAAACTCAAAAATGTATTTAGAATATATTGCCATGTTAATAATATTAGTAAATATATTTTAAAATGCACTTAAAATATATTATGTTAAAAGTTATGGGGAAATATTAAATATATAAATATATATATAAAATACATATATGTATTTATGAAGTACATTTGAAAATGTATGAGAATTGGCAAAATACTTTGTCTAATGCACTTTATTGCTTGGTAACCTTTTGAAGTGAATGCTTCTATCTTTTGAAATTAATTTGTACTCCAGTATCTTAATTGTAAATGTTGGTAAATGGACCTTTAACAGGACAAAAGCAAATGTTGTAGATTGATACACTGTGAAAATGTAGTTTGATGATTTGATATCTTGCTTATTATATATATATATATATATATTTGGCATATATTTTGGGTTTCTCACATAATGCAAAGTACAATGAAAAACACAGACAGTACCATTCATTCAGTTCATGTATATTTAGTTACATCTTTAACCTTTATTAACATACATACAATTCTACCTACATACAGTTGAAAAATATAATAACAAATACAAATAAATGCATTTTAAATATATATTTAAGAAATACATTTTTGGTCATTTTCATATTTTGCAAAAAAAAAAATTTGTTTTGGTAATGGTAATTGTTTTGGTAATGCTTTGGTGAAAATTAATTACTACATTTATTAACATTAATAAACCATGAACATCAACATTATTAGGACATAAATAATGTTTAAAAAGTATTAAATTATGTTTGTTAGTGTCTTTAATTATATCATGTTTATTTTTTTATTTTATTTTACTTTTTTTCTTGTTTATATCTTTGGATTTATTCATTTGGCAATAACTCAATACAATGGTATATAGTTAATATTTACTATTTCATTTAATGTTTAATGTTTAAGAACTATAAAGCAAATTGAGAACATTTCTTTACCATGTCTAATAAAAGTGGCACAGCTAATAAAATGTGGCTGTTAAATGGCTAATAAAACCGACCATGATGTGGATGCTCAGTGGCGGCTGCTAATAAAATTGGCCGCAATGTGGCTGCTCAATGGACCCCACTAATAAAAGTGGCCGTGATGTGGCCGCTCAGAGGTGGCCGCTAATAAAAGTGGCCGCAATGTGGCTGCTCAATGGCCCCCTCTAATAAAAGTGGCTGCAATGTGCCCACAAAGTGGCTGTTTCCTGCTGCCACAAGAGCAGCCACTTTCGCCCATCACCTGGCATGCAGAGATCCAACCCCCTTTTGGTTTTTATATGCAGAACTTTGGGTTTTGTTTTGATGTACTCACTTTTTAGCTTATTTTATATCAAAATATCGTTTCTGTCACATCCCTCCCTACTGCTTAATGCCTGTTAGTGCATGCAACCTATTATATATGAGTATTACATAATATCAGATTTATTCAGTCACTGCACCACTGTTCTTACACCAGTGTCCAAGACTGACTACATGAACTGTAAGGTATAGTCTTCATCTGTAAACTTAATCTGTAAATGAACAAAACCACAAACCTAGCTTGTTTGTTTGACTTACTTTCCATAAATACCTTTCCATTAAAGTTTGCTGTTGTGCGTATTAATTCTTTGTGAGCATTTATTTCTCTCTCCTAGACAGCATGTTCTCGGGCATAGTAGCATGAAAATGATTTTAAAAAATGTGCAGAGTTTGAACTGCAAGTGACAGCTTTGATCATACAGGTTCATGGATAAGGTATGTTGAACTATCCATAAGACTTAGATGCCTTTCTCCATAAATTATTTAATAATAATTTAATTGATTTATGTAAAATAAATAAAACTGTAGGAGCCCTGCTCTGTGATGGTCTGGTGACCTGTCCAAGGTGTTTCCTGCCTTCGCTCGATGAGCACACGGATACACTCCAGCACCCCCACAACCCAAGCGGATAAGCGGCTTAGAAAACGTGTGTGTGTGTATGGATGTGTGCGTGTGTATGAGCCCTAAGACTAGATTAAAAGTGACAACCACTGCTTCCTTGACACACTTTGCTTTGAAAAAAAAAAAAACTCGTGCTGAATGCTTCAGCAAGTTACATTTTTTAAAATCTGTTACTAGAAGTGTTCTTTCTATTTGATGAGACCACCAGGATGTGGTTACCATCTTGAATGTTTTGTTTGTCACTCATTTTTGGTCACAAATGCCAATAAATGGCAAAACTATTCTTCTTAAGCATACATGTAACGCTTGATATTTTTCTATTTATTTTTGTATTTAGTCCTCACCAAGGTACCTGCTGATCTTAAACTGGTATATGCTGGATTATGCTGGTTTAGCTGATAACCAGCATGAACATTTTGGGTGGGACTACCATACCAGAATCCAAAACATATGCTGCTTTTGGTGGTGATCAGCTTAACAGCTGAAATACACAGCTAACACATCACATCATACAACGTGTTTGCACTATTTTAGATTTGTCGCAGGACTGGATCAGATTCATTCTTCTTTCCCTCCTGTACTTAAACCAGCATTTTCTGCCGATCTTGGCCTAATACTGATGCTGTATATAGTATCAAACGTTGTGTTTTTATATAGCAAAAATGTTTTTTATATTACTTGGAAAGACAGAGCAAACTCAGAAATTGGAACCTGACTCCAATTACCCTCTTTTCAGGTCATTATCAGAGGCAATTTACTTTTTCTCCAGTGACCTTGATTGTTTAAATCACTTGTTCAGTAAAGATAGTACAACATTACATAGGACAGTCCTATGCCAACAACTTAGATGAAGAGCAAATCACATTTCATATTTTATTTATTCATACAGAAACCCACAAAATTCCAAAGGGTTAAAAAAAAAAATTCTCACAACAGTTAACAGCAGACAGGTTTTAGGTACACAGTAAAGGCGAAGAGATGAGAGATGGGAGGCAACAACCAGCAAGAAGTAATTTGATGAAAGCAGGGAAGAAAAAGACCTTTAGGGTACTAAGTGCCAAAGAAATCCAAAAATGGGCATACTCAACACAGCAAGCTTATAAGATTCTAGCCTAAGGCACTTCCAGAGAAGCTAAAATGAAGGTATCGGCAGTCCTAGTCATAAAAAGCATTTACAAAATATGCTCTCTTTTGCATACTATATTGAAATCAGTGGTTCAATGGCTATGAATCCACTTCAGGATTGATGGTCACAATTAGTTAATGTAATTGAGAAACGCTTTGAACAAACATGAGAAGCAGCCCCTACCATAAAGTGTTACAATATCTTTTAAGTAACAAAATATGCATGTCTCCAGTTGCACAGTAGCATAAAAGGACACCAAAAATGAGTAATTCTTAGGTCTGTATTCACAAAGCTTCTCAGACAAATGTTTCTGATGTTACAACCTTATTATCTACAATGGGTGATTTGTATTTTCAAAAATGCCCAAACATTTCCTTCACAGACATGTATGGAATGTTTGTATTATTTTAAACAAGGAACATTCCCTTTAAAGAAATAACTATTCTTGGCTCCATTTCACAGCGAACACCACTGGCTTTGGTGTTGTTAAGCCAAAATCATGTCTAAGATGGTCAAAAGGATTCACATATTACCTCCTATTTGAATTCCACTAAAACCTTGCAAAGTGATTACATATGGAGGGATTAACTGGTTACTGGATTTACATGCTTTGGTCACTGTTGGGTTGCTGGGGCAGACGTGTCCTTTTGCACTGATCTAAAAGTAAAAGACAAATTTGGTTTTATGATGATCAAGATTAAACTGAGGACATGGGTCTGTATTCATAAACTTTCTCAGCTCTCCTATTCTGAGAAGTATTATGAATATGGATCCAGGTTTCACAGATCTAAAACAGCTTCTAAACATGAGGATTCTATACCATCCTTACAACAGAATTCAGGCAAAACTCATACAAAAGGTTCATAGTGTATTTCAAGACTACTCAAACAGGACTAAACAACATTATAACATCCTGATACTGGTGACAGATAACAAATTCGGCGGAATGAAGCAGAAGACTATGTCTCTGGCATCTGTCCACACCCTTTACTCTCTCTGAAAGATCACCCGTCTTTTCATCTCATCCAGGCTCCACGGTTCATCCCTGCCACTGGCGGCAAGCCGGGTGGCATGGGAACCTGTGGCTGGCCTGGGGGGACCGGTGGAGGCGGATATCCAGTAGGAGGCAAACCCATTCCTGGAGGAGGAACTGCATGTCCTGGTGGCATGCGGGGGGGTGGAGGAGGGTAGCTATGGTTGTAGCCTGGTGGAGGGTAGGCCGGGGTGGGTGGTGGAAGGTTGGGAGGTGGGTAAGTTGTAGGTGGTGGAGGGCCTGGTGGTGGAGGGTTTGGAGGAGGGTAAACATGTGGGTGGTAAGGCATTGGGTAAGAGGGAGGCATGGGGGCATAGGATGGCGTGTCTGTCTTCATCATAGACTGTAGGCTTTGATAGCCCTCCCCTGACATGTAAGAGCTGGAGGTGGACATGCCCATGATGTAGCTGGAGGGGGGTGGAGGTGGTGGGCGGTGAGGCAGAGGGGGTGGAGCTCCATGGGGCAGAGGAGGTGCCTTGGACAAGTCTGAATCAGCAGAGGCTGCTGGCTCTGCCTCTGCAGGAGGGGCTGGGGCTGAGGTTGGGCCTTTGCGATCTGAATGGGGCAGGTGCAGAGCATGAAGATTGAAAAATTTAAAATCCAAATATTATCATGTTTTGTATCTTTACCTAAAACACAAATAATGCCTAGCCATTACAAGCAATGACAAAGACAATGTCTACCCAGAGTGCCGTGATTTAAAGAATATGCATTAATTTCTTTGAACGCTTGGCAATACCGAACCATAAAGATTCTTTAAAGAACTTCATAATTGTAATTTAACCATTTTGGACATATTCTTAAACTTGTGTGTTAGTATATAGCACTTCAGGTTATTTGTGTAATAACCAATATTCTTACCAGGTGGCTGGGCAACTGGTAGGGGAGGCATTGGGCTTTCCAGACGTGGTATTTTAGAACCAACTTGCTCTAAAAAGAAAACAATAAAATAAATAAAAGCTGAAACAAAGCATTTGCCATTGTCAAACTACACATTCTATATCTGACTGTTTCTAAAATAGCTACTACCCTTACCTGTGACAACCTTAGACTCTTCTTTTGGAGAAACCTAGGAAACAAAAAGAAAATCATTACAAAACACAAAAAAAGAAATTCAGTTTTTAAAGGGAAGCACTGTTCATGAATAAGATAGACATTTCTAATTATTGATAGGGTGAAGTCTACCACTCTCGACACCTTTGCTTTCCTGAGGCAGAAATGTAAAATACGTTTTTTAAAACATCCTATGATCCACTACAGTTATTATGGGCCCAAGATCCCTAAGGCAGTGGTTCTCAGTTCTTGTCACTAAACATACATTTTTGTATTTTCCCAGCTTACTACACATCTAGCTCATAAGCCATACAGTGTATAAAAATACCACAAACCTATGATATTAATTTGGAATTATTATTAATAATAATAATAATAATAATAATAATAATAACAACAACACAACAACAACAACAACCACAACAACAATAATAATAATGATAACAGAGCCGCAAAAAGGCAATGAGCGGGTCCAAGCACACAATAGACCAATTAGACGAAACAGGCAACCATGGCGTGCCAAACAAATTTAAGCCAAAATACCCAACACATGAAATTTCTGACATAACAAAGTTACTCAGTTCAGTGAACTGAATCAAACTGCATCACTTGTTTCATCTGGGTCTCAATTTATACAAATAATAGAAGTTTTGACAGGATAGGACCAGAGACTGATGACTTATAGCAAAAATCAAGCTAGCAATGCCATGGCTGCAGGCATGAACTGATAGAGCAACACCACGTTGAAAGAAAGAGTCAACTATTTTTGTTTTGTTGTTTTTATTATTTACCTAGAGAGGCTAGAGAGTATTTCTAGACCAATGTCAAAAAGTTTGGATCAAAATCCAGAGACTAGTTCAAAAAGTACGGTTTTCAAACAGTTAATGATTACAAAAAGGTCTAATAAACTTGCAATTGTAAATATTTATTAATAACGTAATAATTAATTGATTTTCATGACTAGCACTCCCCAGTGGCCAAATCCATTGAAACTTCACTGGTCGCTAGAAACTGGCTACATAAAGACATCACTCAAGTTTCATGATGATTGGTCAATGTTAAGCCTGTCAAAAGCCTGCTGGATGCTGATTGGCTGATGGCGGCCATAAATTTCAATGTATCAAATTGTCCTTAGAATTTCACTTATACTCCAGTAGATGCTGCATGCCAAGTTTCAGCTTGATCGGATGCACGGATGCTGAGAAACAGTTAACTGGCAATTACCCCGCCCCCTAATGACGTATCCCCACCAAAATTGATAGGCTACCACAGAATCTTGAATAACCTGTCAAGTTTCAATGTTTTTGGATGAAGAGTTCCCGAGTTAGAGTTAAATGAATTATGAATTATTCCAGAGGGATTAATTAGCATATGGTAGCCAGATTGTTTATAAAAGTCAAAATGTTAGATAAATATTGATGAACAGACTCTTCTGAATTTTTTGATACCAGATACATGATTTTCACTCAGTCCTCATAAGACTAATTCGCAAAAGTAGGTTTTGCATATTATGCAAATTAGCAATAAACAAAGTGGGCGGAACTAAATGGCCAAAATGGCGAAGTTGTTTGTTTTGACCCAAAGAATCATGAACAAAAAGAATTTTGTCTCAGGAGTCCAGTGCCAGAAGATCTGAGGAAGCAAGAGGGACAGTATGGATGAAGGAGTTCACTGATATAAATAGGCAAGACCATGAAGAGCTTTGAAGGTTAGAAGGAGAAGTTTATACTTGATACGGGAGGATATTGGTAACCAGTGAACCTGATGGAGGATGGGAGTGATGCAGAGCGCTTGGTAAAAGTGAGGACTCTGGCTGCTGAGTTTTGAATCAACTGAAGCCAGTTGAGACCACTGAAGAGGGAGTTGCAATAATCAGCGCGGGAGAAAATGAAGCCGTTGACCAGCATTGTGGCTTCAATGTTGCTGGGCATAGGGTAGTGAAGAGATAGTGAAGGTCCAGTTAGTGAAAATATCCTCAAGCAAAGGTCCGGAACATCATAATGTCTAACTTGCATCATGATTCAGTGCCATATACTGTATACTGAAGTAGCCTAGTAGGTATATCAACATCATCTTATGTAGTCAACAACTGAATGTCAAATCAAATAATGTACAATTCAGTAATATTTCAATAACATTTATTGTCAGTTTTCTCTTTTTAGAGCACGCCATGTGAAATAACTTTCCTCTGGCTTACTTTCTTCTCCGACTGCCGTTTCTTGCCTTGTCCCTCCGCTGTGTGTGCGTCACTCACTCAAGTTTCAGTACCCATCATAATGCACAGATCTGACTGGCTGAGTAGCGTCACGTGTGATATTTACAACGCATGTGATTGGTCTGACAGTCTCCCGGGCCACTAAAGCGGTACTGTAAAGGCTAGAAAAATTACGGCAATTAAAATAGGACCACCCCGTCGAAATTAAATAAATTCTCCATAGTTTATCGGTTATAGGTCCAGGTCTACACAGGACAGCGTTTGGGTCTGGACTCTGACCATGGTCCGCCCATTAGTGACCGCTGTAGATGAATTAACAGGGGTGAAAGCGGATACTGTCAACACTTTGACGTTAAGTAATTTCGAGAAAGAGGACTTTTCTACAGTGGGGAACTGCTGGTAGATGCTGTTAATTTTATCCCTAAAGAAATCCTGAAAAGCTTGACACTGAACAGATGACGTGGGGGGTTGGAGAAGTTTATGTACAGTCCTAAACAGAGTTTTGGGCTGAGTGCTGCCACCATTTATAATATTTGAATAGTAGGGAGAGCAGGCAGCATTTAGGGCATCCCTGTACCTACAGATGTGCTCCCTAAGAAGTAAGAGATCAACAGTAAGCCCAGTTTTCTTGTACAGACACTCAAGACACCTTCCATTAGCTTTCATAGCTCTGAGCTCAGAGGTAAACCATGGGGAGGAACAAGAATATATGACCATGACTACAAGAAGTGAAATTAACATGCTGAGTAAAATCAAAACATTCAAGGACTGTTAGAAGCAGTTTGTGTCAACATTAATATTAAATTAAATAAAACTGCTCCTAACAGTCCTTGAACGTTTCGAACGTTCAGTGACATAACAGCACAGCAGACGGATGAGGCCATTGTAAGCAGTTCACTTAGATCAGACAAAAACTGAGAAGCAACAGAAGCAATGGAGTAGGGGAGGACACTTTCAAAGCCATATATTTGCAGGAAAACATTGTTTAAAAAAAATAAAAATAAATAAAAAAAAAAGCACTTCTTTACCCCCCAAACTGCTGGGGAAAAATGCAGCTAGACCTCCCCTTTGCTTGCGAGATGAGGCTTAGACATAAATATCCTGATGGTGCTAACATAATTAAGCAGAGGTAGTCCCCAGGCTGTTGCCAAGTTTCAATCAGCAGGAGCAAATCCAGATTTTTCTGAATGATCAAATCATTTATCAGAGATGCCTTTTGGAGAGTGTTCAGAAGGCCTAGTTTAGCAAGATTTATGATTCAAATATTGGAGGAGGTTGAAGCAGTGGTATCTGTTTTGCAGAATGTGCGAGGAAGTCCATGGTTAATTCCATTTTTGTTTGATCTGATCCTAGAAGTTCGCTTGAGTGACCAAATAACCGGGATGCAGCCCTCCGAGGCACAATGAAGGGATGGAGAGTGCAAGGCATGGTGGATGTACCTAGGCTGTTAGCCTTAACCATACACCACGTTAGCCAAACACCAGAAGTCATACACCCGTACATAACAGCAGGGAAGCGGCTGGGCTACCCGTCACAGCAAAATTGCCGACAACAACGTAGTGAGGGGTGAAAACTCACTCTCCGCGGCTGAAGTCGAGAGAGGTGTGTGAAAGGCGGGAGAGGGCTCGGGGTGGTCGGCAACCAGTGCTGCAGTCAAGGTGTCCAATCAACAAGAGAAATGTTTAACCAAGTCCATAAGCCAAAGATCCAGAGTTCCAGCAAAAACAAACGTCAGAGATCCAAAAAAACAAAAAGGTCAGAGTCCAGGGAAAGACAGTAAAACAAAAACAACAAACAAAGCAGAAGCAGATGCGCTCAGCATACTCTCAACTGGAGGTGATTACATATAAGAACACATAAAACAAAACAAATGTAATGTACACAAGTAAATATAATTTACATCTGACAGTGGACAGAAGAAAAAAAAAGGAAAAAAAAATAATAATAAAAAAAAAATAAATAAAAACATTCCACTCACATGCTGGCGTTTAAGCTGCCGTGGGGGACTGGCCTGTGGGGAGTTTTTCTTAAGTGGAGGCAGAGCTGCAGGGTTCAGTCCACCAGACTGACTTGGCTGGCTGGCAGGAGGTTGGGGTGGTTTGTCTTTTTCCTGCATTTGGGGCTGCTGTGGGATGGGCTGCTTGCCTTGGGAATACAGGTCCAAGATTTGGTGGCAGATATCTGCAAAAGACATGCAAAACATATAACCAAGCATAAATTATTTCATATCAAATTGTGAATTTTGTGAGAAAACAAATCAACTCAAATCAAGTCTGCAATTTAAAGGCTGTGCGAAAAACGTTTGTTGGATCAAAAAGCTGAATCAAATCAAATCAAATCAAATCAAAAACAGCAGGACAAATTACCAGAAAAAAATCTGACAAAAAATAAGAAGAAAAAGAAGGAGAACTAAATCAGTGCATTTCCTGAAGAAACTGCAGAGTGACGGCACAGCTTAAGCTTGCCACCATGTTGCTAGGGGGTTTATATAGTGCTGTTGCCATAGCGAACATGCTATGGTTGCTATGTTGCTATGGATGGTATAGTGAACTGGGTGGTTGCTAAGGTGTTGCTAGAAGGTTGTTAAGGTGTTGCTAAGCAGCAGCCAAGGTGTACCAGGTGGTTGTTCAGGTGTTGCCAGATGGTTGCCAAGGTGTTTAGGCTATTTGATAGGTGTTGCTATGTGGCTGATAAGGTGTTGCTTTACGCTATGGTATAAGGGTTGGTTACTAAGGTGTTGCTCAAAAAGTCATCTTGGCTAAAAACATTACCAATGTTTACATATTACAAACACCTTTACTTCAAAAAAGAAATAGGAAAATTTATTGTTTTATGATAAGGGCACATTAAGAAATAAATGATAAACGTAGGCCATCAGCCATAATCATTCATGATGGGCACACCTCTACTAACTATTCTGCTTAATGCGTTTTCTTTATTTGTCTTGGATTTTATATCACTATTTTTAAATTTATGTTTTAGCATTCCCATAACATATCCATATATATGGAGGTCACAATGATTATTCCTAACTGCCTAAAATCTTATGTTTATTTATTCATCTATTCATCATACCCTCCAACAGCTCCACAGGGACATCTTGCACAAACTGTTCCCACCAGCGCCGGGATGACTGCTTGGATGTCCATTCCTGGATGTCAAATTTACACAGGCGACCAGCCAAATACATGACAGCAACAGCTATGATCTCTGGCTCCCACTGAAGAGACAGCATCGTGCAGAGGCTGGGGACACACAAAAATATTTCCGGCTATAATAGCCAAGGTACTTGCTGGCACTTCCATCTAGGATATGCCTATGTAAATATTTTTTAGTGTATGCATAGGTGTAACATAAATACAACCCACACAGCATAGATAACTACGAAAGAGTGGTTAGTTCTTTAGACTATTATGATGATATGTCACTTGACATTAATAATTATTAACATCTGGTAATTTATTACTGCAGTAATGTCTGATGTCAAGCAAAACACAAAACACACTATTTAATTTGAAGAGAAACACACACTACACCTGGCAATAAACAGATGAGTTGAAGGTGTGTTTATGCGTATCAATCACCTAACAGTGCTGGATATTGGCCCCTGCTCTACCATGTCAAATGTATTTAAAGGCAGGGCTGTGGCTTTAATGCTAACCTGTCATTCACAAAGGTCCAAGCCATTTGCACCAGCTTTTGCACTTTGTTCTTGTCTCCTGCAAAAGTACAAAAAAACTGCATGGGATTCAACACAAAAATAAAAGGAACACACACACACACATGCATACATGCATGCATCCATCCATACATTCATCTAACACACACTCAAGCACCTAAAACTCCTTTAAAATGAGTAACGCAATGACCACATCAGTTACCTTTTAATTGTTTAGCGTAGCGCAACAGGAACTGATATGGATGCTCCACTTGTAGATCAAACTTGATTGTCTGGAGCAATATTCTCTCCAACACCATAACTTCTTCCTGTTTATAAATGTCATGCATCCAATGACAACCAAATTTCTCACAAAAAACAACATTCACAATACTGTTTCTGACCATTTGCACCAGGGATGCACTTTCAGATTTTCAGACTCTTAATATTTTGTGTGTTAAAATGTCATAATTGAACTCTACAGACTGGTTTGCATCAAACCAGTTAGTGGAAAAATAATTTTATTTCAAAACAAAAAATTGCCATTTCCTGCAAAAACCTGGAATACCTCATATAAAAACTTTGTATAGCATGTCCCTTTCAATCCCTCCATTTTAAACTGTTAAAATCTTTTAAAACTGTATTGCAATTGTTACACCCGTAAGTTGGACTGTAAGAATTTTGTTATTTTAAACCTAGAAATTTTCTACTTACCACAAAAAACATAGCCAAGACTGTTTGGTGTTTAAAGTTTTCTTCTTTGGTTTTGTGCAGGAGATGAGGCTAATGTAGCTAAAAACCAATAAACGCATTTGCAAACTGCATGCATAATCATATGTTTGCCTCAAAGGAATGAAATGCTAAGGAATGAAACAGACTTGCTTATATCAGTTCTCAAAGCGTAGACAAAAGCAGGTTTAGTACTGCTTTTGTTAATTTAGTCCGAATGGAAAGATGCAAATGTGTAGAATAAAGACAAACATGGAAAATATGTATTTTGTATTCAAAATATTACACCACCTCATAGTTCTTTAGACTAATAATGTGCTGGAATACAAAGTCAACACTGTGTCAAGGTCCAAATGCTTACCGACTGCCCTGCAGACTACTGACACAATGCTCACCTTTGGATCTTCCCCAAACTGTGCAAACTGCACATCGTTAAGCAGGCTGCGAGCTGTTTTGATAATGTCTTTACACTTCTTTGGAGTCTCCTCAACTTTTCCAGCTAAGAATAGACAGCAAGCCCCTGTCACCTAGAGTTTAAAAAAAAATAATAATAATAATAAAATATATATATATATATATATATATATATATATATAGAGAGAGAGAGAGAGAGAGAGAGAGAGATAGAGAGAGAGAGAGAGAGAGAGCACTGTTCATATTCTACTAATCTACCAATACCTGTGTATAATACCTTTCGCACTATAAAACTTCACCAGAAGTTCAAAAATAAAATTTTTGGGCAAAGTGTGTGTTACAAATGGATAAACTTTTTTGTAAGCACGACACACTGCTTCCGTAGACAAAGTTCATTTAGTAAACTAAATACAAAACTTCATTGTTATTGTAACAGCATACGTTGCATGGTTAAAAGTATCCAGACATCCATTTAAATAGAGAATTCAGCTACTGCACCCTTTGCTGTCAAATACTTTCAGTTGTGCACTAACAGCTTGTATGATCTCCACAGAACAGCACTGCCAACAAAAACGCTCTAGAGCAGCCACATATGAGCCTAAAGTCACTAACCCAATAGCAGGTATCTGGGATAACATTTGGACCAAGAATGAAATATAAATATAAAAAATACAGACAATTATATGTCACACTTACATATCTTGGAAATTGCTTGAAAGAATGAAACATGTAAAAGCGGTGAAAGTATATAATTCCTGTGGCCAAAGTATCATAGTGTCTGTTGAAGTAGAAAAATGTCAAGGGAAAAAAAACAGCTTGTGATTCTAAAAATAAGATGGTTTAAAATAAGTCATTCACCAAGACACCAAAATGTCCAATTAAAAAAGGTGACACAATGTGAAAATGAAAGGATACAATCCTAGTCGAGTTCCAACGTCGAATATAAACCTGGCCCCCTCTCTTCTGTATCTGGCCTCAGTGGCCGGATCTAGGCCCTCGGACTGGGATGGGGTATGGGCCAGGTCCTTTTTGTCCCAGTACCAGCATGGCTTGATGTGGTCCAGATTTGTCGTCAAACTGACAGGAGTGGAGTTCTCCTTATTCTCCTTCATTTGCCAAGAAGCAAAAGCTGTAACTAGCTAATGCTCAGCTGGACAACGGGTTCGCCAAGACACAGCAGTAACGTTAATCGCTGATCACGTGGAAAAGACACAACATTACGGCCGAAATAATGGAAACTGAAACAACTTAAAAGGTAGATCTCCAAAAATTAAATTAACGTTTTATTGCTATACACGATTTCAGAATTTTTCAGCTACTTCCACGTGCTGAGAAACAGATAGCACTAACGTCAAACCTCGAACTATTTTCGACTATTTAAAACAAAAGAATTGGTGGCGCAACAACACAGCTGGAAAACAATATGCACTCTTTATATAATGAAACTAAATTGCAAACCCCAAACTCAAGTAACCAAGCGACTGATATTTCCCAGCAGCTAAAATGCCATGACTGATGTAGTTAGCCAAAACGGAGCTAACATCAGCTAGCTAACCTACGTTACTCAACACAGCACCAAACAAGCTAATATAAACCAGCTAACGTCACCCAACTAAGTAATAAATTCACAAGGCTCTTTAAACGCTGTAGTGACTGCAGTGTACAACTGAGAATATTTACCTTAAAGTGTATAAACGCCCGGTATTTAAAATCTCATGGAGTTTGTTACTTCGAGCTTTATTCAGGTAACTAGCAGCTAGCTACATATATACAATGGCAGCCACATTTGTGTCTTCTTCATGTGGACCTGCAGAAACAGCAACTATCGCCACCAACTGGCAGTGAATGAATGAAGCGCCTTCTTTCGTGTCTACGCTTGTCAGTATGGCTCCAATAACATGTTCCCTCAAAGAAATAAATAATAATTCGATTTAAGAGTAATAGCCTTGTGCTACAGCTCAAAATCAAGGTTAAGCAAGGAAAATCAGTTTCGTGCAGGCTCCTTTTTTTTTAGATTTCTCCTTTTAACATATTGTGGCGTCACCATACCTATGTAGGTTAAATTAAAAAGAAAGAAATGTTTATTCTGGTGTATATGGAGCCCTGCTGGTGACATTCTGTATAAATAAAAATAATGTGTGGTCGCGGCTTAGTAAGTTGTGGGAACAAGATAATTAAGTTGTGGCCACAACTTAGTAAGGCATGGGAACAAGATCATACCTTACGATTACTTTAATGTATCTTTATATTGTGTAGACAAGAGTGTGTCAAAAAAGTTGTTTCTGAGAAAAATGTCAAACTACTCTGGGAAATGTTGGCAACGCACATGATTAGTATTAATAGCGGCCTCTCTCTAGCAAGGGGAGTCTGCATTTACTGTCGAGCTGCTCATTGCGTTTATAAATCCAGGGTGATGGAATGGATCACTTCAGTTTTGTCTGCAACTGTTGTTGTTTTTTGTTTTCATTTTATCTTCGTTCATAGGCACTCCGTGCATAAGAGGGTGGATCCCGTGGGTTGGTGCTGCGTTTGAATTTTCATTGCAAAAGCAAGAGTAAGTTATTGACACAGCTGGTTTAGCAAGCTAACTTTGGCTATCTTCAACAGCAAATTGAATGTCAGTTTTAGTTTTGTTCTCACAATTTACACAAAGGAATTATGCTTTAGTCACTGCTTACCACAGAGTTGCTAAGATAAAAAGGAGGCCTCTTAGGCTGATATCAAGTACCAAAGACTGATAAATGTCAAAATGGATACTTTCCAGTAGAGAAATGTTAGGGTCTCTCAGGCTGACAGCAATTGGCAAATACTTATGAGTCTGATAAAAAATTAAGCGGAAGTCTCTAAGACCAATGGCAAAAAAAATATCTGACAGGCAGAAAAGGCTGCTAATAAGATGGAAGGTTTCCCTGGCTGATAAGTGCCAGGTACCTCAAAGGCTGCTTAACAAAAAAATGTATACCTTCTAGATAAGAAACTATATACCTCTAGATCTAGAAGCTCTTGTGCAAAATCCCACAAGGCTGATAATTAACATACATGATGGCAACTGACAAATATTATAAGGCTAATACACATGAGTGGAGGCCTTAAAGACTGATGGCAATAAACTGAAAGCGACCAAGCTTTTATATATCAATTATTGTGGAACTGTGATAGCTAAAGTGCTAAGAAGAGAGAAGGCTTTTCAGGCTGATAGTGCCAGATGCCTCAAAGGCTGATAATCAACAAAATAGATACTTTCTGTAAGAGAACTTATATGAACTTATAGAACTTATATGCCTGCAAGGCAGGTTAATGATTAAAAAGGTCTCTCAGCCTGATAACATTTGACAAATATTTACAAGTTTGATTTGAATTAACTGAAAGCCTTCAAGGCTGATGGCAATAAATTGTAATCTGACAGGCTGAAAAAAACTAGTAATAGATCCAGTGCTAATAAAAAGGGAGTTCTCTCATGCTAAGTGCCAGATGTCTCAAAGGCTGATAAATGACAAAATGGATACTTTCAAGAAGAGAACTACCATGCCTGCAAGGCTGGTTAACGATGCAAATGCTCTCTCTGGTTGATAACAATTGACAAATATTTAGGAGGCTGATAAGAATGAACTAAAAGCTTCCAAGGCTGATGACAAGAAAGTGAAATCTGACAGGCTCATAAGGTAAGATGCCCAAAAGGCTGATAAACAACAAAATGGGTACCTTCTAATAGAGAATTTATATGCCTACAAGGCTGGTTAATAATGCCAAGGATATCTCAGGCTGACAATATTGACAAATACTAAGGAGGCTGATAAGAATGAACTAAAAGCCTGTAAGACTGATGGCAATAAACTGAAATTGAATAAAGCTATCAAAAAACTGATGATGGCTCTAGTGCTAGAAGGGAGGTCTCTCCACCTGTTAACTACCAAGTGCCTCAAAGGCTGATTAAAATCAAAAGAGATCTTGAAAGTATGATTTACTTCAGAATGTGGTAGTAATTCTATGGTCAGGAGTACAAGAGAGCATTATTAGCCTTGATCCCTATGGGTGGGTAGGATGGCCTCTCCCCCATCACTCAGCATGGGCATCTGTTAGCTGATGTTACAAAATAAGTTCAACATCACTTAACGCAACATCGTTGGGCAGCGTCAAGCTGTTCAATGATGTTGCATGCGCAGGAGTTTGGTGTCCGGCTTCACATGACTCGGAGGACGCATGTGCTAGCATTTATCATTCAAACACTGGTAGTGTTGTATGATTAGATGAGAACTAGTTAGTGTGTGGAATTGGACATGACTAACCCGGGAAGGAAAAAAAGTCTGGTATTAATAAACAAGCATGTCCCAAAGTGGTAAATTGTGAAAAACCTTGCAAGTCTGATTAGTTATACAGAGAAGTCTCCCAGGCTGACAGCAATTCACATATTGCAAGGGTAATAAAATTATATTAGTAAAAATTATATTTGAAAAATAGTTATCTAATACTATTTATATTAGCTTATATTAGCGTTGCAATGTTTATCCATTGTCAGCCTGGGAGACACTGTAACTGTTCTTAAAATTACATGAAGCACCTTCCTTTGCCATTAAATAAATAACTACATAAATCTATAATTTCATGTAATGTAAAAAGATATAAACAGAACTGGGTTGTTTATAACTTAACTGGCTCAATGCTCTTCCATTACAGTACAAGAGTCCTTTCAAAATGCCTGCATTGCATGCTAATTAGCTGTTGTGCGTAATTGGCTCAGAATTAAATGTGGCGGAGCAGTGTTACGCTGCCTTGCAGGAAGTACTGCCTTCCAGTCCTCGCTGGGGGAACAAAAGTCCCTAGTGCCGATGCGTCGCTGTTCTGTCCGTATTTTATGTTAAATAGCACCCCCTGCTGAGGACTTTTAGTTTGGCAGCCTTTGTCTTCCCCTTGCTAGGGCAAACCAGGAAATAGCTTAGTCTGATACTCCAACTGCCACGCTTTGCTGTGTAAAGTTATCTGGTGCAATTCTGTTTGTTTACTCTATCGAAAGCATCGTCTGTAAGTGTTTCAGACATCATACAGACACTAGTTTAATATTTTATAAGTATGTGAGATTCATGTTCACTTTATCTCTTTTATCTTATTCGTGTTGAAAAGTGATATGTAGCCTTGTTTCTATATCATCCCATTGTTAGTTTAGCTTCTGTTCCTTGTTGCTATATGTGTTAAACCATATGAGAGCTTAAAGCCATTTATACACAAGATTTATATTTTGTCAGTGCGGTTTGCATAATTTTGAAATGCTTATTTTACTAAATGTTAAGCTGGTAGTACGCAAATTTCAGTTGTTTAATATAAACACTGGAGCTTGGAGGCTATATCCTGACTCCCATGTATTTGTTTGAATGGAGTTTGGTTTGCTGTTAAATTGTATACATATATACACACAAGGAGAACAGTTTTTTCTCCTCTTAATGCAAGACCCACCCTGACACCGGTAGGCTTATGTGCTTTTTGCTTTGAGAGACTCTCCAGAATGTGTATGAAAAAAATATAAATGTGAGGAAAACACACATTTGGTAAAAAAAAATAAAAAATCTGCCAAAAAAAAAAATGGAGAGTGACAGAATCAGTTGGCACTTTTTGCAACCGAGAGGTCTTATTTTATCTACTACCATCCCCATCTTCAACGAGGGAAGATGTTTCTGATCAGGCAGCGTGTCTTGAGCCATAACAGTATGAACCACTGACTCAAGCCGTCGAAGACTTAACGTTAATGTAGTGCCCACAGATATACATACATACACGTGTGTATGTATGTATGTGTATATATATATATATATATATATATATGTATATATATATATATATATGTATATGTATATATATATATATATAGATAGATAGATAGATAGATAGATAGATAGCTATGTATATCTATGGTAGTGCCAGAAAATGATTAGCAGCAAGCGGCAGAGGCGTCCGAACAGTAGAACATTCCCTAAAACTGTGACAGCTAGCTTCTAATCTGTTCAGCAGGTCTATATTCGATAAAACCCGAGTCCTGATTTCTTAGATGCACTCCTGAATTCTGAATGAATAAAGTGGATTTCTTTGAACATTGTCTAAGTTTCATTCAGCAGGGTTTGCTGCAGTGGCCCGAAATCCTTATGTTCTTAAAGCTGTTCATGGCACTTACTGGGGTTACATCCGATTCAGTTCCCACTCAAATTCACGTGTTTTGGGAACATTTTGAGTTCTGGAAATAAGAATCTCTGTTCTTGACTGCATGTATTCCAGCACACTGTGATTTGGAGTTTATATAGACAGATTGAAGTAATCAGAGAGCTGAAAATTTAGTTTTTCAAAGAAAGCTTTAGCTTAACTGACAAAATAATAAAAAAATAGTTTTCTAAGGAAATATCAATAAGTATGTGTAATCTGGGACATTTTCAAATGGTGTAAATGTGTGCATTTACACACACGCGTGTTATGCACTGTCCATTTATATTGTTTTAACTTTGATTACTGAATACAAATGAATCTTTAATCTTCAAAGTAATCAGTAGGTTACTTACATAATATACTAATACCAGCCTGTATTGGACTGCAGTACATAACTGCTGTAGAATTTAAGGTGGAATGGTATGAAACTTCAGCGTTGTGTTTGTGAACAGCTGGCAGGTAAAATATAAAGGGTTTCTTCAACTTCAGATCAAAGCATTAAAAATGTAATTCTCAAGATGTGAATAACAGTGGTTTTGTGGTTCATATTTTGGGGTTTCAGGGTCAGCCATTCTTAAAGCAATATAGCAGGTCCTACATTAGTCCTTTCATATTTTTAGCACCTAGTGTTTTTTCATTCAGAACAAAATCATTTCATGCATGTAATAATATGCATAGGCCTGTGCTGAGCTATTTGTTGTCTCTATAAAGTATGTTAATAACTGTATTCACTGGTGTACATTGCAAACTTTGCAAATCATTACAGCCTTATAAAACAAAATTAGAAGTAGCAAAAAAGTAATTTTTAAATGAGTGGAAACAAACAATTGAAAAAGCCTGAGTAAGCATGACTCAACTAATTGGTTGGTAAGCGTTTCTACTGCTGTTTTAATCAAAATGTAAAGTACTTAGTCTTACTCTGAAGTACTGCTTTTTGAAGAGCATTAGAACAAACATTTGTACTCCTTGTTCAGTCAGACAGTAGATTGCAGTGGATATGATACAGTGAGCAGAAATAGGTATTCAGTAATTGTTTGTTTTTGGTAAAAAAAATAAATAGAAATAAAGTTAATACTTTGGTGCAAAGTTGTTGTTGGAAGTTACAGCTTTGATACATTTACAGTGAGAAATAATTAGGCTTTTGCAGCATTATGGTTACATTTTGGCCCATTTATAAACCATCTTCAATTCTCCGAGGTTAAGAGGGTCCCTCTGATGGACTTTCAAAATGCTCAACCAAAATAGGATTCAAGTTGCTAGTTGGCTAGGCCATGTATAGCACCTTGATCTTCTTTTCTTAGAAACCAATCTTGAGTTATTTTTTATATTTGGGGTCATTTCTTGTTTAAATGTCTTTTGTCCAGATTCAGTTGATTGTCTGGTGAGATGAAGTTTTTCTTTAATATGTCCTGGTACATTGCTTCATTTTTGTTTCAGTTTTGATTCAGCTTTGTTGATATTTTAACCTCAATTTAATGTTTTTATTTTTTTCAGAATCGTAGTTGATATGAGCTGATTAGAAGAAGTTTGGTGCCTGACTTCTCTTTGATGCCCATCAGCCATTGTATGTATTTGTTGTAATCCACCAGCAGCACACCTGAATTGATTAGCCAACCTATGTCACATTTTTTGAGCAACTGAATGTTTACTGCTCAGTTAAATAGCTTTTAGAACAATATGTGCAAAAATGTTTGTGCAGTACACTATTAAAGTGGCCAAAAATGTTGTCTTGGAATTGGTATTAGCATTGATATCAGTATCATTTTTTTTGTATCAAAGCCTACTGGTAGTACTCTTGTTTTGTTGTTTCTTGTCATTTTCCTTTCAATTGCTTATGTGTGTTTCTCTGCAGTGACAATACCATCTGAGCCATTGGCCCCACAGCCTGCTGTAGTAGAGTGTAATGCTGTCTTAACCTGTCTTATTAGCCATTCAGCCTTCAGAACTGCATCCTTCAGGGCTACAGCCCCCAGCACTGCAGTCTCCTGCACTTACACTAACAACCAGACAGCCTCCTGCCCCTGCCTCTTCTGCCTTACAACAACCAGCAAAAGAGCTTTGTGCACTGCACCCTCCTGTCATTGCACTGTCCGCCCTACAGCCTATAGCACTGCACCCTCTAACTCTTCAGCCCCCTACACTGCACACTTTTGCAGTACAGCCTCCTGTACTGTCTCCTAGTCTTCAGCTCTACAAACCTCCTGCATTGCACCCTGCTTAACCATCAGACCTGCAGCTTTAGACACCTCTACAGTCAGCCCCACTGCCTCAGACACCAGCACCATCAACTGTACAGTGTCAGATTCCTACACTTTTAGCTCTACAGCATCATGTACTTGCACCATCAGCCCTACAGCCTGAAGTACTTCAACTTCCTGCACCATCATCCCCACAGCCTCTAGAGCTTCAGCCTTCTGCACTTCCAGCTCCACAGCCTCTAGATTTTCAGCCTCCTGCACCATCAGCTCCACAGCCTCTAGAGCCTCCTGTGCCATCAACTCCACAGCCTCTAGAGCTTCAGCCTCCTGCACCACCAGCCCTACAGTCTACTGCGCTGGAGAGTCCAGCACCTGCACTATGGCTTCCAGCACCTGCACTATGGCTTCCAGCACCTAGTACCACCATCCCCAGATCCTCTGACTGTCTTTGCAAATACCATGGAACCTGTCCTGATTCCAGTAGAAAATAAAGACAACAAAAGATGCAAAGAGAACAAAAGAAAGAAGACAGGTAATATATTTCAAATAATACATTGTTCATGGCATTTGTTAGATGTTAACATTTTGTTATTACTACTAGGCAATATATTCAGTTTAATTTGTTAATTTTTGTTTTTCTCTCTACCCCATTTTGCATAGAAAACTAACTAAAAGTTTTTTGTTTTTTAAATAATGTTTCTTTTGTTCTGTAAAGCTGCTTTGCAACAACACCTATTGTAAAAAGTGCTATATCAATAAACTTCGACTTGACTTGTTTCTGTCCCAAGATAGTAAAATTTGTCTGTCTCATGAGTGCATACTGTACTCATGCCACGTTTCTCTGTGATTTCCTTTATCTTTACCTTTATCTCCAAACAAGATGATAGTATTATTGTTATATTGTATATATTGTTTTCATGTATTATAGTTCATGCATGTTACAGGCTTCACATAAAACTGATTAATATTGTATAGATAAAAAGTTTTACTTGCTTATGTTGGTTACAGTTAACTTTTATTTCTGTCCAGTAGAGAGGTGTCTTTTCATGCAAGTGCAGAAGCATTCCATTGAAAGAATTCTGAAAAAGAGAATATATAAGAGAGTATGGGGGAGAGCTGCAGAAAAAATAGCAGACAACCTTCACATATAGATGCTGAAGTGTATCAGAGTATGAATCGTTGAATTGGACAGTGTAGTGTAATATAACTGTGCCGCTCGCCCTAGGTTAATGCAAACAAACTGACTAAATGAACAAAATGCAGAATTTATGCCACTTTAACATGTCTGTAAGTTGTAGTAATGTCTTCTTTTACTTTCTTTAAGGGCAATATGGAGGTATTGGTTCGCTGGAAACCGTGCTCTGGATGGTATGTAGTGATTTATTTAAATTTACAAGCTTCTAGAGACAATCGTCTGAATTTATAAGTTTGACAAAGATAAAGACAAACATGATTTCTCCATTTTTTATAAATGGTCAGAAATTACAGAAGGCTCAGTTTGTTCTTATGGGATCCTCCGCATGGGGAAAAAGTGCAACATTTCCAAGTTTGAATCACTCTTAAGCATGATGGACTGGGATCGGGAACCCCTACTTTAGCCCTTCATCAGTGGATATTTTTGTGTGGTGTGTAAAACGCACTGCTGATGTTTATAAAAACCCAAACATAAAACTCATTCCAACGCATCACACACACTACCATGCCCCTGTGTCACTGCTGAGCCACCCATAAAATATCCAGTAATAAGAGTCTGGTCAAGCAGTACTGTGGTCAGAAACTGATCATGGTAGATTCTATGCATAGCTGCAGTTTGTAATTGGACACCTGTGCATTTTAAATAGAAGACTAATCAGGTATGTGACATGCATGAAGAAATCTCAGACTGGTGTTTTGCAACAGTACAAAATCGGTGCCATTCTAAGGACATGCAGTAGTACAAAAATATGCCAAAATAGAACTAATAAAGGAGATAATAGGGGAAGTTTGCTTTTACATGTCCTACATACTGTTTGTTGCGTCTTTTTTTTTCTTTTTATAGTTGTATTAGATGGAGCAACAGCTGGAAAGCCTACAAAGAATTCTGTAGCGTCACTGACTGCTCTGTGTCCAATGGGAAAACACTGCAGCAGGTGGGAAAACTGCCCACTCCATCACTAGGTCAAGTTTTCCTTCCTTCAAGACCATCTACAATGAACAGTGTATATAAAGAATGCTTGCTTTATGGAGAAAGATCCCTTTTACACCCTGCATGGAGTGTTCTTATCCCTGCTATCTGGAAGCAAACTATGGAGTCTTCCCGACAGGTCAACATTTACTTCCTGTTAAACAGCTGCACAGTTCTACCTGGTGAATCGTGTCTACAACTAGTCACTTTACAAGAGAGACAGTTTTTTTTTTTTTTTCTTGCATGGACAAGACACTGTGTATGCATACACACTGTTTGAGCTCTGACAGTGTTCACTGCTGCTAGGACTAAGTTTACAGCTTATACTTTTGAATAACAACTACAGTGGTCATCATTTCTGCAAAATTCAAGGACTGCACATATGACTTCAGTCTTGTTATCTATGATTGTTCTTATTGTCTGATGTCCTGTCCTTAATGTTTGCATAGTTTATTGTATGGTGTGGATTATAGTATATTGTGGTTTATAGTTTGAGTGTATGTATAATATTTATTGCGTTCTGTACTATTAGCCACCTCTGCTGTTCTTCTGTGCATCCAGAGGAACTGCATTTCACTCCTGCAAAGATATGACACAGTTTGACCTGAACTGACTTGACTTGATTTGGAGCGTGTGTGTGTGTGTATTTTGGTCTCTGCCTCGTAGATCTTTAATATGTGTATATATATTATTGTCAAAGATTAATAATAAATCTCTGAACAGTGACTTTTTTATGTTCGCAGGTCTTTATTTTGGTTAGTATGCTGAACATATTAATTCTAAATAAAGTTTAAAGGGAGGTTTTATCGATTCTTTTTTTTCTTTTGAGAGAGGTCACAAGCAATTATGCTGTAGGGAACGTATAATATTTGCATAATCCACTTTTGACTCTTGTACTGTTTGTTTTGTTCCTTGCCACCCATATATTTTCATATGTCTGTTACCATCATACAGACAGGTATTTTAACAGTGACACTTTTTTTTTTTTTAACCTTTGCCTGTATCCCCCACCACAATGGATTTGAAATTATTCAGTTCTTTTTCTTGGTTTTCTTCCAAGATGGCACAGAGTATGACTGCCGTGTTGCGAGCTCCCTTCACTCCTGTTTGTTTTTTGTTAATTTTGTTTTTGTTTGTAACTACTTTTGCAATAAATGTTGCCAGCGGAGTTTGAGTTCCTGAACGCAGATCCATTGTTTGGGAACCTCAAAGAGGCCCCATTCATCTGGGCCGACCAGCTGACTAAACAACCCTACATCTCATCCAATAAGTTTTATTTCATAACTTATTACTGTACAACTGTACATTGGAAGTAATTGTGCAATAATTGTGTATATGTGTATATATTTAGAGTCTGTGTATATATACATTTCTTTTTTCATATATATATATGTATATATATATATATGTATATATATATGTGTGTGTGTGTGTGTGTGTATATATATATATATATATATATGTTTGTATGTATATATATATATATTTTTTGTATTTCAATTTTACAAGGGGGCTACGCACCTAAGATTTTCACTCACCTTGCACCTGTGTAAATGTGATGTGACAATAAATGTGATTTGATTTTGATTAAGAAACCAAGATGTGATTGAAGTGTACAGTTTTAATTCAAGGGGTTGACAAAAATGTTGCATTAAGCACTTAGGAATTACAGCATTTTTACATACTCCCTCCATTTTCACAGGCTCAAAAGTAATTGGATAAACTAACAATATAAATATAAAAACAATATAAAAAACAGTATAAATAGAAGGATTATTTTTAACACTTGGATGAAAATCTTTGCAGTCAGTGACTGCCTGAGGGCTGAAACCCATGGACAGTGGTGCCGCCAGGGATTTTGGACCCCATTAAGATCCTAGTGCCCGGCTCGCTGTCAGTCTTTCTGCCCGGTTCAGTTCTTATTTCAACGTGTTGTAAAGCGTAAATGTCACATCCAAACAGCCATTTGGTGCCCAATGGAGTGCTACGCACCCTATAAAGCCTTGGGAGAGAAACACAATAAAATAAAGTTTTTTCTTCTTCTTTCTTTAAAAAAAAAGTTTTAAATAAGGTTATCTTATGATTAGGTTATCATTAATATGACCAAGATGCATTAGGCTAACACTTCAAGTCTTTTAAACATCACAGACCTAAGCGATGGCCACTATAGTGGTTAAATATAAATATGTTTGTATGTATATATATATATATTTTTTTTTGTATTTAAATTTTACAAGGGGGCTACGCACCTAAGATTTTCACTCACCTTGCACCTGTGTAAATATGATGTGACAATAAATGTGATTTGATTTTGATTAAGAAACCAAGATGTGATTGAAGAGTAGAGTTTTAATTCAGGGGGTTGACAAAAATGTTGCATTAAGCACTTAGGAATTACAGCATTTTTACATACTCCCTCCATTTTCACAGGCTCAAAAGTAATTGGATAAACTAACAATATAAATATAAAAACAATATAAAAAACAGTATAAATAGAAGGATTATTTTTAACACTTGGATGAAAATCTTTGCAGTCAGTGACTGCCTGAGGGCTGGAACCCATGGACAGTGGTGCTGCCAGGGATTTTGGACCCCATTAAGATCCTAGTGCCCGGCTCGCTGTCAGTCTTTTAAATAAGGTTATCTTATGATTAGGTTATCATTAATATGACCAAGATGCATTAGGCTAACACTTCAAGTCTTTTAAACATCACAGACCTAAGCGATGGCCACTATAGTGGTTAAATGTTTCTTTAATAAATGTTTTGTGACTAATAGAATAGAACATAAGTTTAAAATTACATTTGTAAGTTTTATTGTAGGTACACTGTACACGTACTCTCTACAGTCATACTTGAATTAGACTATAAAAAAATGCGTATAAAAAGAAATAAAAAGGCAATAAACCATGTGTATAAAACTATTAAAAATTCTTTATTGAACCATTCAAATCAGAAGTAATAATGCATCTAAAACTATATATATCAATAATGCGCAAATCAAGTACACCCTGTATTTTATTGAAAAGACAAAGACAACAAATCAAATGTTGAAACTGAGAAATTTTTGTGTTTTTTGAAAAATATATTAATTTGAATTTGATGCTAACACGTTCCAAAAAAGTTGGGCAAACTGTTTTCACAGACAGTGGTTTTCAGAAGTGTTTCTGAGCCCGTGCAGTGATTTCCACTACAGAATCATGTCTGTTTTTAATGCAGTGCCACCTGAGGAGTGTAGATGTAGATCATTGCCAACAAATACTAGTTTTTGGCCTTGTCCCTTGCATACAGATATTTCTCCAGGTTATCAGAGTCTTTTAATAATATTATGTACCATAGATGATGAAAAGCAAAAGTTCTTTGCTGTTTTATGTTGAGAAACTTTATTTTTGAATTGTTGCACTTTTTGATTCGTTCAGTCTTCCACAGAGTGGTGAACCCCTCCTCGTCTTTACTTCTGAAAGACTCTCTGGGATGCTTTTTTATACCGAATCATGTTACTGACCTGTTGCCAATCAACCACCAGATGTTTTTTTAACATTACACAACTTTACCCACCTTTTGTTGCCCCCGTCCCAACTTTGTTGGAATGTGTTGTTGGCATCAAATTCAAATTGGGCATATGTTTTTCAAAAAACAATACAATTTCTCAGTTTCAACATGATATGTTGTCTTTGTACTATTGTCAAATATATGTAGGGTTTAAATGATTTGCACATTATTACATTTTGTTTTCATTTACATTTTGCACAGCATCCCAACTTTTTAGAAATGGGGTTGTAGAAAAATCACTTTTAAAACTCTGATGATTTAAAGAAAATTATTTTTTAAATACTTGTGTTTGCAAAATTGTCAGGCTAGGTGTCCATAACATGCAGATGTGGTCTTCACCTAAAGACATACAGTAAAGCTTTCCACTAATAGTATCTTTTATCAGTTCATTTAACATTGACATTTGCGTTTACTGATTTGGCTCCCTCTGGTGGCTAGAGAAATATACAACACCACTTGCTCAAATCAAAATTGGTTGAAATGAAATTATATGATTTCCTGTACAGTTAAGCAACCTACACATATTTGCAATGTGTTAATTCTCATTAAGATGCATAATTTGAAACAAATGTCATGTCTTTATTTTAATCTTAGACAGGAATAATTAACACACGTTTCCTTAGCTGGTTATTGTCAATGTACATATCGATTTTGGTCACAATCAGAGCATAACTGACATATTTGTGGTCCCTTGTTTCAGAATAGGCCAGACTGAACTGATTGATCCATAACTTGCAATACCACTGTGCTTAAAAGGCAAGATTTTTTAATAATTATTGACCTTGAGACTTCCACGGTTGTTTTGAGACCAAGTTTGAGACGATCCAAAAACATTTCAGCAAGAAATATAAAAATATCAATTTTTCATTGCAAGGCTTGGTGAAATACATAAAATTCAGAAACGTTCTTGCCACAAGACACATATTGCGAAGCCTACATAAGTATGTTTGAATGTCATAATTTGCATTTAATGCTAACTCCCCGTGTCTGTGTGGGTTTCTTCTGGGTACTATGGTTTCCTCCCACAGTCCAAAGACATGCAGTCAGGCCAACTGGACACGCTAAATTGCCCCTAGGTGTGAATGTGTGTGGATGTATATGTCTGTCTGTCTGCCCTGCAATGGACTGGCAACCTGTCCAGGGTGCATCCTGCCTTCTGCCCAATGACAGCCGGGATAGGCTCCAGCACCACCATGACCCAGAAGGATAAGCGGTTTAGAAGATGTGTGTGTGTGTGTGTGTGTGTGTGTGTGTGTATGTGTGTGTGTATGTGTTCTTGTTTATGCTCTACAGCGCCACCTCATGGTCAATTGAGGTCAAACTTCATAGGCTATCAGAGATTGCCTATGTGGACACATGATATAATTTTTGTGATGATTGGCCAATGCTAAGCCCTCCAAATGCCTGATGAAAGCTTATTGGCCAAAGGTGGCCATATTTGTCCAATGACTGAGTTGTCCTTAATTGGTCAAGTATATAATAGCCATAGGATGCAGCATGCAAAGTTTCAGCTCAATTGGCTAAGTGGTTGCTGAGAAACAGATTTTTGGTTTTTATAACACCCCCAATTGAGTAATTGGTACCAAACTTGATAGACTTCCACAGAATCATGTGGGGTACAGGACTAATGAGTTTGATGAGAATTTTCCAAAGCAATCTAGATCTGGAGCCATTTATGTGAATTATGCTAAACCCAGGGGGGCTTAATTTGCATGTGGCAACCATATTGTTTACAAATATTCTTTTTTTTCCTATAATTCTTGACCTCCAGATGCCCCTGAACATTGTCCAATATTGTGTGGATATCTTGAAAAACCTCAGACTAGTAGAAAAAAGTAAATGTCAAATATTTTGCCAGTTATGATGGTAAATATGGGGCCAGAGCTAAATACATGCAGCGTTTATGTAGAATAAACATTGAAGCAAGAATTTTGACTGTAGGCCTCATGGTTCAAGAGATATGGGCCAAAACGTAAAATGTTACTCTATAGCACCACCATCCGGCCAATTTGGGTCATTTCATTTGCCTGAGTAGTGGGGGGGATAATACACCTACCCTCTAAGTTTGATGTTTGGTTGACTTACTGTGTCTTCTCCACAATCAGTTTTAGTAAAGAAGAAGAAGAAGAAGAAGAAGAAGAAGAAGAAGAGGAAGAAGAAAAAGAAGAAGAAGAAAAAATCCTAACAAAAGTAATTGCCTAAATATAGCAATTAAATTTGTTTTCAGATCTAGGGTATTACATTCAAGACCCTCCCATGCCATTTTCTCTCAAAAGAATAAACATGACATGAGGGCCCAGGAACTAAAACCAATTCTTAAGAATGTGGAATATAAAAAAACCATGACTAGTTGCAATGGTTGATAAGAATTTGTGATGAAAGTAGGTATCTAATACCCAACCCTTAATGACTATGACATTGGAAAGAGTGCTTGGAAGCCGAGTCCTTGGGTTTTTAACCAAAATCCCAACCTGTTCAGATGGTTGAAATTGTGTAACCAGCTCTAAATCCCAGGCAAGGACCTACCAATGACCCAGCCATTTAGACTGTAAAGTATAAAATGTGGAATGGGAGCTCTGAGGCCTAGGCCCAGTATGTTCCTGACAACAAAAAACACCTTAGAATCTACCAAATAAATTTGTTTGGGAGGGCTGAAGCCCAGGCCCAGGCCCTGGGTCTTATACTCAATACCCTGCCATGTTGCCTCGAAAGAATGAAATTACACTGAAATGGCGTTTACTGCAGTCCACAAGTGCTCAAGCGCTGTAGAAGAACAAGAAACGCTACGTAGTATTATCTTAAC